GGGAAGGAGGTAGGATGACCCTCTGCTGCCTGGGAGTTGCTTTCCCCTGTGCAGGAATTTATTTAGGGGGAAGGCTTTGGATTGTGCTGCTATATCTTAACCTTTATTTTGCTAATATGATAAGGGCCTCTGGGGTGTACTGGTGAGGGAAGGAAGCAGCAAGGGCAGAGTAATTGTCCAGTCAGCAGATTATTCAAACCCTGCCAGCCCATGTGGTGAAAAGGATGGAAGGGATGAGACCCCAAAAGATGTCCCTGCTTTTCCCTGTGTGTGGGGATAAGCAACAGCCAGACTAAGCTCTGACCAGTCTCACGAGGCCATCCTAGAGGATGGCTCCCATCCCTAGGCACTGCCCACTGGGGACTGCATCCAGACAGGGAAGGATTCCTTGGTGTTTTCCTAATTCAGTGGCCTCTTCCAGTCCTTTGCATGGATGTCAGGTTTGGAGAGGTTAAGCGTGTTTCTGTGATAAAAATGACAGAAAATAACATGGAGTTAGTTATCCAAGCTGGTACCTGGACTGCTGTGTGCAACCCCTGGGGGTCAGTTTGAGTTTTTTGTATTTTGAAGTAATATTTAAATCTTACTTTTCCGTATCAGTCTTTCACTTACACTACTGGCATAATATGGAATGAACCTCTCAATTTTGCAATTTTGGAAAGGTTCTTTCTGAACAATTGTCATTTTGGTTGTTTCATTCTTCCTTACCTTGAATGAAATTGCATGGAATCTAGCTTTGTCCAATGTTCCAGCCACCTAATAATGTAGCAGCTTTGGCTGGAAAGCCAAGTTAGCACTGAATCATCAGCATTTCAGTCACTGCAGTAACAGGATGGAAGAACATTGAATAGACACATTTCCTTTTCTATAAAAACATCTAAACCAAACATCTAAACCATGTGACCTCTTGGAGAATTGTTTAAGATCTCTGAATCCCTCTTCTTGAATTTCTTTATCAGCTGCTCGGAAGATTGGGGTATAATGGATGCAAATTCTAGCTGATTTTGCAAAGGATCTGAACTGGAGGATATTTACTGACTCTTCAAATTTTTTTCTTTTTATCTGTTTAACCTCTCTCATGTTTTGGCTTGTATACTGTTGCAGCCAAGTTTGATGCAAGTTAAAAATCACAAGTCTGAAAAGCATTAAATGGATTATTTCTACAGATTTTTAGTTTTTGTAGCTGAAGGCTACACTGGGCATTTTAGGGATCTATATTGATTTTTACTTTTTCTCCACTTAGTTTTTTGTGTATGCTTTACAGTGTTTCTGCATTGAAATACTGAGTCCTTTTCATTCATGTGATTTTGTATGGAAGCTCTCTCTGGCCTTCCGTTCTGCATTTTTCAAATTCTCTGTATCTTTGGGGACATTTCTTAGTGCAACTCTTGTTAGTTGATTTTCCTGTCTCCTCAAATGATGTTGGTATCTTAAGGTGCTAATTAATGATGCAGCATGAGCCCCAAGGTTGCCATTCCTGTGAACAGCTGGTAAAACTCAACAGCCCAAAGGGCTTTCAAATCATCACAATCAAGATCATCATCAATAGCATCAATAGCTGGGAAATTAAAAGGTGTAACAGTAAAATTTACAAAAAGAGACTTTTCTCTCCTGGAGATGTTTTGACAAGGAACTTTTAGATCACTTTCAAACATAGGACCTGCATCGCTATTATTTTGTAAGGTATCTTAGAGGTGTGCAGAAGAAAAGACACATATTTCTGTGTATGTGTAATGCATCTCATTTAATCCATGCTTTTCCCAGAAGTGAGGATTGACTGCTGAGGTAATTACTGTCTGCACAAGAATGCAGTCTGCCACAGAGCCAGGCTGTGCCTCTGATCTCTGGTGTAATCCACTTCTCTCTCTGTGTGACAGTACCTGAGCAAAAACTAGGTTTTGGAAGCCCATGGTTTGCACTTCTAATGTGGAATAAGTAACAGTGATCATGAAGAAGGGAGAAAAAAAGGAAGAGATGCTGAAGATTGCAGGAAAAACAACCCCTCTGATGTTAGATCAGCTATCGAACAATTCTGTGCTAAGTCATCAGAAGAATATCCTGGACAAAACATTTCTAGAAAGAGTCTTTCTAATCTGAGATGTTGAGTTTAATAGCTCTGACATGAGGCGTCTTGGCTTTGCACTGAAGATGGGCAGGATTAATGCTGGTCTGGTAGCACACCCTGGGGAAGATTGTCTGATGCCTCGTCCTAAAAACTTCCCAGTATGTCAAGTCAGTTTTTGACAATAAGGCTCTGAGCAAAGGCAGATCTGATGCCAACATTGTTTCTATTACCTGGCTACTAGAGTGTGTATAATGAATTAATATAATTTCATTTATGCATTTATTTACATATTCATATATTTAAATAACTTGTTGTTAAAAGAAATCAGAAGATGCTCTGCAATGCCATAATATCATATTCTAATGGCTAACCAGAAAGGGAGTGGAGACCATTGCTAGCGACAATCTCTGCAAAAACTATTGTATTGTTTTCTTTCCTCCCTGTTGTTTCCCTTGGGTGTTACTGCTTGTTCTTTGTGATGTCTCTTTTCTGGGATGGCAGCTGTTGGATGCTGGATGCTCGTGCAGTGCCTAACAAACTGACTTGGTTAACATCTTGAGACAGGATTACCTATAATTTAGCTTTCTGTAATATTTTTACCCATGCTATTTGAGTAGAATAGAATTTCCCATTCTATCCATTCCATCCCAATCTCAGAAGGTGACAGGGATAACTCCTTCCTCTTTCCCTCTTCCTGCCCTGCAGACTCAGCATGGAGAATACTTCAACAGGCATAAATATTTAGGAAGGGTGTATTTCATTGGCTGTGGATCATACAAGAGTGGAAACTGCAGCAAACGAAGTTATTTCTTCTGCTAGGAATAAAATGTGAAACTCTTGATTTTTATGGAAAAAAATAAACATGAGGAATAAGGATGTGTTCATTCCCTTTACCCACATCTGCAAGCACTGAGGAATGAAAGCCTTTACATCACTCCCAGAATATATGGTTTATTTTATGTTTTCAGTTTCTTCTCTTTTATACTCAAGAAACACAAAGTGTCAGAAAGCTGTACTTTTATTTTTGAGCTCGAAACACAGGGAAGTTAATACAGTATTCCTGACCACCAGGAGGAGCTCATGACACAGCCTGCAGCGTTAGCCTTCTCCCTGCGAGCTTGTCAGAATTTCTCCAAAGAAGGAACTTAAAATCCAAGCAGTGTGGGGGCAGCCATCCCCTTGCAGCTGTCAGTGCTGGCATTTGACGTGGACAAAATAAAACTACACCTGGAAAAGGCAAAACGACCCAAAACAGGGAACAGGTGGGACAACGTGCCATCGTGGGCAGATGCCATGGGAGGTGAGAGAATGTAATGATTCATCATATTGTGAATAGCCTCTTATACAGGGAATTCCAGCTTCACTTCCAAACTTCACTTCCAAAATCTCTCTTTTTCCTCTTTGTGAAAAAACAAGCCAAGATGGCATAAAGATCAGCTGGCAGCCAGAAGAGGGGAGTGTTCACATGGTACAGCACTTTTTAACATTTTAGTAAACCTCTTTATAGGCAGGTTAGTAATGCCACTCTGCTCACTAGTGTGAATGTTCCCAGCTATTCAAGGGCAGCAGAACAAATTTGTAAGTTAAAGGATGGTAGTTTTTATTATGGAAGTGATGCTTGATTTCACAAAGCACAGAGCTTCACCTTGCAGCTGCTAAAGTTTCCTTTGTTCAGGGCAAAGCAGGAGAGAGCCACGAGCATTGAAATTGCTGGGAAACGTATTGTAAAAAGTTTCTGTAAAACTGCAGGATGGATGAGAAGAACCCACTGTCTGTCACATCTGTTCTGCTTTCTGTCTATTTTTGTACTCGTTTTAAAATCCAGTATTTAACATTGCCTCAGGACTAACCAGTTCCCTTTTCACTGAGGCAAGAGACTAATGTCTGTAACTCAGTGACTGTGGGCACCTTTCTTCTTGCTGAAATAAATTAATACTGAACAGAGTCTTTTTATCATAGCCATGCTCTTATCAGACCATCTCCCTTTATATTGCTTCCTTCCCCAGCCATTGTGGAAACAGACATCCTGCCCAAGGCATCGAAATCCGCAATCTGCTGCTTCTTCTATGGAGCCTCTGGACTTTTGCCAACAGCCCCTTGAGGTGGTCCCAGATGTGATTGCTTTTTCTGTGCTACCCTGAAAATATCCGGTAAAAACAAAGGGCTGCACTCACCCCAGTTACTGCTTTGGAGGCCAGCACTTCCTCTGCTGTCAGGGATGTACAGTGGGAGATGTTAGGCATGATGTACCCCAGAGAAACCATGGCTAAAATGGCAGGGTCACAGTCAAAGGGATATTCCTACAATAGAATAAAGCCAATCTTTTTATTGCATCTCTCAGCTGGTCCTCAAGTTTACCTCCAGTTCCCATGAACCCGGGAGATGTGTCTGGGTTGTCTTTCCCACAGCATTCTTCTGCAGGGAAAATGCTAATTCCTTGCACCTACGTCGTGTGTGAAAGGAGATTAGGTTTTAATACTGCTTTTCTTCAGGAGAAAAAAAAGCAAACAACTCTATTTTTATTTCAAAGTAATTTGGACTTAAATTGCAAAACAGCCAATGCCTTAAAATAAACCCAAAATGTTTTTTTGACTGACTTGATAGCTTTTTCGGGTGAAAGCTGAGGGAGAGAGGAGGGAAGTGGAAATACCAGCTCACGACAGTTTTTGTGGCTTGGATTTGTGGGGGCTTTTTGTTTCTTTGGTAGGCTTGATAATTTTCAGTAGTCCTGTCTGTCAGAAACCCAACACTGTAGTCCTGGATGTTACTGTAGGTGGCTGAAGATACCCATGAGGAGTCATGGGGATGAAGGTAGAGCAAAGGCATCTTGCTGCTGGGTTTCCTTGAGTAATGTCTTGTAACCTACTTTTTTCTTGTTTCTTTGATCTCCCTGCAGCTTCCCTGCTCTGATGTAAGTTGCCTGACTCCCAGAGTTCCCACAGAGTTCCATGGACATTTGTGCATGCAGTAAAACATTCAGAAGGGTTTTAGACCAGTCATCAGTTTTTAGGCATTCACTCATTGAGGGAGGACAGGTGAGAATCCAATGTGAATTCTTGTGTGAGTTTGTCCTTGTTGGTTAAAGGCATTACTTGAGTGTCACAGGAAAGATAAAGTTCAAATGTCTATTGGGATTCATCTTGCAATCTTTCTGCCACTAAAATGAAAAGATTAGAGGAAAGTCAAAGAAGAGAAGAAAAAAAATGGATCCCAATGAAATCTACATATACCATGATTCAACAACTCTAGAAGGCCACATGTGGTTCAGCTGGGCTGAGAAATTGTTATAATTGAAGGCATTTTATTGCTACTTTATATTACAAAAAACCTCTACTCTGCAGCTTATTTTCCTAATTGGAAGTACTTTGAGTTGATGTTGCACTTTTCACTTGAAGTGTCTTTTGGAAGAATCTTTATGTAGACCCTGAAATGACTGTGGCTTTTCAGGGCTGCACTGATTGAGTTATTCTCCCTCACATCTTCTCACCAGTCTGCAGGTAAATCCAGCCAGCTTTCTGAGATTCAGCTAATGGCTGTCCTCAGGGCCATGTGGTAAATTTATGTCAAGTTGGGGTTGTGTGGTCATGTGCAATATGGCCTTCGGGTTTATTTCCAGAAACAGAAGTGTATCTCTGTGGCATGTGTTCTGTTAAATATTGACCTTCTATCAACAGTGTTAGAGGTCAGGAATCTCCCTGGAAAAATCAACCCCTGAGGATTTGCATGGTGTTTCTATGGCAGGAGCACAATTTTTTTAGTTTGTTTAAGGAAATTGGGGCAGAGGGGCATTTTGAGGTGTCTCTTCATACAAGGCAGGAACATCACTTCAACAAAGCACAAGGGCTGATACTCAGTCCTTTGCAAAGCAAGACTGATAAAACAAAGCACCTTAGTGACTGAAGGTCTGAGATCTATTGTAAACAGTGCCTGCCTCTTTGTTGTTACTCTCCAGAAGTGCCCTGATGTTACTAACTTGCAGATGGGCTTTTCTTAACACTATGTGCTGTGCCAGCTCCAGCCAGAAACATAGTACCCTCTGTAAGCAAACATTCCAAAATAAAAGGCCAGAGGTGGCTTGTAAAGGGTCAGTGAGCTTAAGCCCACAGCATGATGCAACCTTCCACAGGAGAGGAAAATACAAAACTAAATACGATGATCCATGAAAAACTGGTGATAACATCTAAATGGATGTGTAGACAAGAAGTATGTAAGTATATCTGTGCATTTGCAAGCACAGTGGCAACACAAGACCAGTCTGCAATGCTTCCACGTGGCACGGTCTTGACTTTCTTGTGTGAGAAGGAACACTGTAAAGTGCTCTTGGGTGAGACTTGTAGCTGTCCCCCTACCTATCACATGAGCTGACTGCTAGTCAAGGAGAGCCCATGTCAGCTGATGGCAAGGGTGGGTCTCAAAGGGCTGACCCATGATCAATTCCTCCGTAGCCAGGCTCCTCTCATTGTCTTGTCCTCCTCAGGGAGGTCTTGTGTCTGAGATTGCTGATGGCTGCACCCTGTCAATGGTAGGAGAGAGGACATCTCTCAGTGAATGTTCAGGATGATTTGTATTATAGAGCTGAGCTGTGTGGGCCATCAGGTGCACTGTGCTCCCAGGGCGATTGATTATGCTGAATTTCTCTTTGTCTTTTTGTTTGGCAGATGTAATTCTAAAGGCAAGTATCAGTCTGATAATTGAGAGCTGTAATCTCTTTATCCCACAGGAAAGAAAACAAATGGACCCTCTCTGCCCATTTATTCCTCAGCACTTCTGCCAAGGCTTCAATGAAGAAACCAAGTGTGTGGGTGGGAGCTTGCCCTGTCTTTCATACATGTGTGTTACCAAGACCACAACAAAGGAGAGATGTGCTATTGCCTAGTGTCATAGAAGTAGTGTTGTGCTAAAGACACTAAAAGAAGCTGACTGCAGGGCAGGGACCTCTGCCTGCACCCCCAACTCCCCAGCTTTGCAACCCGAGAGTTGGCCGTGGTTAGTTCATTTCCAGGAAAGAGGCTGATGCTATTGACCCTGAACTATTATTTGCCTAATGAAATACAGGGAACTGAGGTGTGGGGGCTAGATGTGAGGATCTGAGGCTTGCTGTTTTTCCTCCCTACTTCCCTGGAAGAGTTTTGCAAGAATGCCTCAGCACTGCCAGAACACTGGTGTTGATGGCTGGTAGAGACGTCCCTGCTTCAGGGGTGTCATACCCTGAAATATTCAGTTTCTGTCTGCAGCCCTTACAGATGGAAACCATGTGGCTGGAACTTTCCTGCCTGACAGAGGAGCCACAGTCTTACTACTCCAAGAACTCTTGCAGCAGGATGGTGTTTTGCCAGGTGCCCTCAGCCATCTTTTAATGGTTCTAGGCAGCCCCTCATGTCTGGGGTTCTGCCTATGATGCTGAGCTGTCACCTCATCTTTGCAGACCAAGCAGAGCATCCTGACCATTTTTACAGGATTGTGTGACTTGGAGCATTCTACTTTAGCAGGCGCCAGGAAGGTATGGCCCTGACAATGTCCTGCCCCCTAGGGGTACTGCAAGGATTTGGCCTTGGGAGCAGCCTGACCTCAGCCTGTGCTGCTGGGCCAGGTGGGCTCTGCCTGAGCTGCTTGCTCCATCAGCCATCGTCACGGAAGGCGGAGGGAGGCAGGTCATGTATCAAGCTGATTTCTGGATAGCGCGGGGTCTTTGTCTGTCAGAAAGCCCAAATGGATTTGCAGATCACAAAGAAAATGCCGTCTGCCTTATTACTGAGCTGCAATCTGTTCCTGCTCAACCCCCCCAGTTATATTCCCCACCAGGGATTCATTGTTCCTTTTCAATCTGATGTTTTAATCTCCAATTCCCCCGTCTTTGCCCCTGTTGTTTCCCTTTCCAGAGCTGCTGCTCTTACTTGTGTCTCCCCTGCCCTTGCCAGCTGGAGTGAGACACTTGCAGAGTGTCTCACTCAGAAGTACCTTTAGCTGCCCATCCCTGCTAGCTGCCAAAAGAGAGGAGCTGGCAGGCATGGGCTATGGGGTTTTCAGGAGAACCAAAATCTAGAGGGGGCATTGCATCTGTGTTTATCCTAAGTCCTGTGTAAGACAACTTGCACCAAAGCAAAACAAGGAAGGAGAATATACACGTTTGCGTTGCTGTTGCATGCACAGAGCTTGGCCAAGGTCCATGCTGCCTTTGTGCTCAACAAGTTCTTGCTCTGGAGAATCTACAGGGAAGCAGGAAATAAAATGGCCCTGGCTGCTTGCTCTGCAGAGACAAACGGTGGCAGCTGAAAACAAAGCCTTTAGTGACAGGGCCATCTTTCCCTGCAGGTGGAAGCTGTCTGGGAGAAGGGACAGAGATGTACCGCATTTGAAGAGCTCCCAGAAAAGCCTGACAATTACATATTTCAGAACATGTATGCTCTTAGATGAACAACCAAAATATTTAAGCCTAAGGCAGCTAGTGATGTGGTACAGCAGGGACATACTGTTTATGCCTGAGTGCCAAATCTACACCCCTCCTCTGTGTTCCGATGTCTACGGCGTGTGCTGTACAAGAAGTCCTTTCTCTCCCAGAAAGGGACGTGTTTCCTGTGGTTTGTCCTCTGGTGCTTATTTTTTAGCTTTTCCCGCTGAGAGGACACAAACCTCCAGTGATGCCATCAGCTGAAAGTGAGCGAGCAGCTGCGGCAAGCCTGTGTCCCCCCAAGATTGTCCGTGCTGGCTCCGCAGCCCCGGCGGCGCGTGCCAGGCGTTGTGCAGCTGCAGGGCTCGGTGCCAGTGGTGTGGTCGCTGCCTGTGCCGCAGAAAGCCTGATTCAGCAGCAAAATCCTCAAGCTGTCTCCGAGCCCTCCTGGAAAAACCATCTGCAGGCATCCCACTTGGGTGGAAACATCCAGTGCTGGATGTGCTTGCTGGCTTGCTCCGTGTTCCACGCGTCGTGCGGCTCCCTGGGGATGGAACAGCCCCCAAAGGCTTCACCTCGAGCATCCCAGCTCCTTGCTACTTGAGGGTGTGAACAAAGCACAGGGGTTTGTGCTGTTCTTTCCTTCCTTGCCCAAAGGTCTTAACCTGAAGCCTGTTGAAACCTGTGGACAGACTCTTGTTGGCTTTCCTGTGTCTCAGGGCTGAAATTACTGCTTGCTTCTCTGTCAGCTACACACATGTGTAGCATTCTGCTGGCACCTTTTAAAATTACATTTCTGGGGATAAACCAGAAAGAATATAGGGGAGGAAGAGGGGAAAAGAACACAATAAACTCTTTCCTTCATCTAAAACAGCAGTAGGTGGCTGGGGAGGGTTGAGATAGTTAAAGGAATTGCCAGAACTTAATGGTCTCATATCCTCTGTACCTGCTGCTGAGGAGTCATGTGTTTAGTAGAACCAGTTAAATGCATCTGGGCTAATCTCTTAATGCTGCTCCTACTATCTTCTCGCCGTTGATCTGCAGGATATGTTGCATCTTCTTTCTGGATGTGCTTTATGAAAGTACAGCAAGATGTGTTTTGCATGTCAGTACAGTTGCACAATGTATATATGGCCCATTGATCTGGGGCTTTGATCTGGATGTTTGCTCTGGAATGGTAACTTTTTCTCGGCTTTTTGCATTAAACTTTTGTTAGGATGCCTGTCAGATGGTAGCCAAAGAGACACTGGGAAAGGAGAGGGTGATTGTTTGACAACCTTGGCCATGGTGGATGAATCCAGTGAGCAACAATGACCATCACCTCGCTCTTGGTTTGTCTCTGTGTCTCTCCAAGGCTCAGCACCAGTGGGCCAGGTCAGCTGTAAGCAGGGGCCATTATGGGGTGGAAGGTGGTTGGCAGGGGCTGGCAGCTCCTTGTGGTGGTGAGGTCTGGGGATGCTCAGCATCACTGCTGGTTAAAAGTAAGGACTCTTGGTGGCCCAGAGGTCCAATTCTGAACAGGACTGAGGAGTATTCCTGACATCTAGTTAACTCATTCCAGCTGATCATGCTTCAGTCCCAAGCTTTGACAAGCACAGAAGCCCAAACTGTGGCCAGAGGCCCTGTGTCCCTGAAAACCCATCTTTGTGTGGCAGGGGAGACCCACATGGTTCACCAGCACTGTGACAGGGAACAAGGGCTTGGCCCCAGCTGTGCAGTTGCTCCCCTTGGAAGTGTTTTTTCTGTTTCTGGAAGCAGCCCCTCAGCTGATGCAGATTGTGCTGGTCCCAGTGACACGTGGAGGCTGTTACATGCTTACATCAATCACAGCATGCCAGTTTATTTTCTTTCTCCTTAGCTGTAATTATTTTTCATAATTAAATTTGAGCAGCAACATCAGTCTGGAATTTGTACAGATGTCCTGAAATCTGCCATGTTCTCACTCACATGAGGCACCTCAAAAACCACTGATGCCCCAGAGAGGATCCCGCACGGCAGCCAGCATTGCTGATAGTGCCACAGCCCCTGCCAGAGCAGTGATCTTCCTCAGGTAAACAGTCTCCTTGTTCCCCCTCCTAGCTGGTAAGCAGTAGCTGCCCTGAACAGTCGTCCCGCTCTTGTCTTACATGGCAAGTCAGCTGGGGACAGAAACAGCAGAGGTTTGAACTGCTGGTGCAGGTGCAGCAAGTACTCCCAAGATGGAGCTGTGTGAAGAGGCCAGGGGCTAGGGATATTCTGGCTGGTATTGTTTTATGGCATCCAGGAGAGGAGCTGAATTCAGGTTTTCCGTATTAAGGATGGTGACTCCTTGGTACTGGCCAGAGTGAGCCCAAATCCCAGTGCCTTGTATGGCTGTGGCCCAATCCTGTAACAGTAAATCCTTCCTTCCTCTCTCCACACATATTCTGCATCTGTGCTGAGCCACAGTGACAAGGAAAACACATGGTGTTTCTTCCTTTGTATGGCCTGCAGTAGAGCCTTGGTGAGCTGCCCTGGCCCAGAGCTCAGTGTTGTGCACAAAGGAAACCTCCTCCTGAGATACCCCACAGTGCTCAGATTTGCCTCTGTAGCAGGAGACGCGGTGACCTCTGTTTCAACATGAATAATCGCAATTGTAGTTCCTGCCCTTCCAATGATGCAGGTCTTTATTAGAGCTGACTGGGGTCTGTAACCTCTGCTGGCTGCAGGTTCTCCCAGCTGCCGGCGTGCTGTGTGAAGTGCTGTTTGTTCTTCCTTCTATTCATGCTAACCTTACCTGCCATGAATGATGCAATCATGCGGACAAGATCATAGGGAGGTTCAAAGTCCAGGATGGAAAAAGGAGAGAGAGAATAAAAAAGAGCCAAAAATAGAGCTCCCAAGGCTGGAGGTCATTTGGGTGTGGGGCTCGGGGGATATCACAGGCATGCTAGAGCGCATACTGAGGCCCCCAGATTGGAAGGGAACATCCACTTGGTGCCTTTCACTTGCCTGTATCTCTCTGTGCTTAAGCCATCACAGCTGCAGCTGTACTGAATCCACGGACTTTAGGGAAACCCGAAAAGAAGTGAGTCTCTGGGGGCTGGTGGAGCCCTGTTTGCAGGAGAGGGAGGGGTGGCAAGGACCGTCACTGAACACCAGTGTGAGCTGGTCTGGGCAGGGACACGTGAGGTTGAGCTCCTGAAGGCCTCCAGAGTGGTAGATGATATGGCTGCTGATGACAGCCACAAGAAGTGATTGGGACGTTCAGGGTGGCCATTGGGAGAAGCTTCTCCCTGGGAGGGTGGTGCAGCACTGGAACAGGTTACCCGGAGAGGACAGAGACTCTCTGATCTCAAAGGGTTTTAAGATTTGGCTAGGCAAAGCCATGGATGATCTGAGCTAGTGTTGGCAACAGTCCTGCTTCTTATGGGAGACAGGACCAGAGACACCCAGAAGTCCTTTCCAGCAGATACTTCTATGGCTGTCCTTACATTAAAATTGAATAAACATGCCCTTGTGTTGACTTAACCTTTCCAGTGAGCATGTTGATCTGGTTTTGTTGACACTCTTGTTCCTAGAATCTGATTCTCATTAAATACAAGTGAAAATAGGGGTGGCCTGTATGTTACCTGAAAAAACAAGTGAATTAAGTGTTTGGTTAGTTTCTGGTGCCATCCTTCTGGCTCTGGGAAGCTGGCAGGGGCTGCATACTCATTCCTGAGATGATATGGTGCCAAATGCCACTTTGTAGCAAGCTCTACAAAGATTCCTCCTTGTGATCAGGACTCTAATGGCCCTTCAGTCTGGGTTCCTTCTCTGTCTTTGCACTTCAGATTCTGCTGCAGGTAAAATGGGCTGTAGCTGCAAGGGCATGGGGACTCCAGTGAGGGATGTTCATTCCCTCACCTCTTCTAAACCAGGAGATATAATGATGTGTGGGATTTCTGTGCACAATTGCAGATGTTCCTTTCAGGCAAGGGGTTAGAGCTCTGCCCAAGCTGCTCCCACCATGGAGCATGCACACCCCTCCCCTCTTCCCCCTCCTCTCATTAACTGCCATCCTTAACAAAACCTCCTCCCACTCCTGTCACCCACCAAGACCCTTGTCTGGCAGCTGCCAGCACAGTCCATACCCTCATCTGGGCTAGAGATGCCCTGAATGTACTGGCAGGGCTGAACATAAGACCCATTTTCTTTCTGACCAGAGGGTTTGCTGTCTAAGTCGCTGCTCCCTGCTACCCAGGACAGACCAGGACGTGTGTTCCTGTGTTGTCTCATGGGGGATGAAGTAGTGGTTCTGGTCAGAGAAAACCCTTCTTGTTCCTCTTCCTTTCATCAGAGGCACGGGGAATGGTGAGCAATTAATCTGAAACTTTGCACAGTAAAATGTAAATCCCCATAGCCTGACAAATTCTGGGTAAGAGCCAAAAAGGGTTAACAAGGAAACATGTTCCTTCCAGCGTAATTTTATATTTGGCTTATATTTTAATAAATGAGTAACAGCTGAGCAGAAAGGCCAAAAGGAGAAAGTCCCCCCACCCTGAGGTATGATGAAGGCAGAGTTTGGGCTGTGTGCAAGTCAGGTGCCAGAGTGGGTGATTTAGCATAAAACGTGGAGGATTAACTATGGATTAGGCAGTGAGCAGCAGTCAAAGTGAGTGGCTAATGCAGGTGTAAAGGGTTGTTGGTTTTAAGTGTTTAAATTTTCTTTTGAATTCCCTAAAGGTGGGAAGAGAAGGAGCAAACCAAGGCACTGTGGTTGAGTCTGAAGGGAGCTGGAGACCTGGGGTGATAAATCAACAGCACTGCAGTGAGATTAAGGGGAAAACTAATGTAATATATGAGGCAATACGGAAAGAGGAGTCTTATTACTGCAGTTAGTTCTCAAAGGATTCCATTCCAGATGGTTAAAGCAGGAGTAGATCAGGAGCCCCCATTGATGGGGCCCACCATCTGACAATAGTAGAAGCGGAGGAGAGTTTCCTCTGACTCCAGAAAGAGTTTCACCTGGAGAGAGCTGACTCCATAGCAAGATAAAATAGCTTGCATTACTGGGTAATTACCTCTTTGTGAGGAAAGCTGGTGATGAACATGGCTATTTTGGCATTTTCCCCCATTTGGGAAATGTGTCTTGTTCTTGGAGAATATTTATGGAGAGGCTTTGTGATTACTGTGCCATTCTAAAGCACGGGGTGGTTCTGGATGATGGTGTCACTGGCCTGTCACTGATGGGAATACTGGCCTTGATAAAGACTACCACCATAGCAACTCCACAGTCCCAGGGATGAGTAACAGCTCCCCACACAATAACTTGAAGCTGGTAAACTTGTTTTTGCTAAGTCACCAAGCAGTGGCTACGAAGCAGTGTCTTTTAGAGCCCTCGGCCAAGGCAGGAGGTAGAACAAAGACCTGGTTCATGGAGGAATTTTCCCTGTAGGATTGAGAGCTGTTGAACATTGGCACTGCCCAGCTCCAGATCAAAGGCAGATAAACCCTTAGACTTCAGCACTCATGCAGTGCCACAAACAGTTGAAGTGAGGGGGTATGTTTCTCTGTTATGGGATTTATTTATTTTTTTTTAATTTGAAGTGCTTGAGAAGAATTCTCATTTGGGAAAATTTTGGCTGTACTTTGCTACAGCATTAACTTCTCTGTTGGGTGTCTTCTGCTAGAAATGTTTAGATTTATTTTTGTTTGTGTTCTGTCTTACGCAGCTAAGAAAACAGTTTCAAATAGGACAAATTGTCTTGTTCCAGGGAGGAGGTCTGATCTGGAGAGTGAAAACAGCTTGCTACTTGGAGAGCCGTCCACAAAAGAACAAACCTCTAAGGGCAGTTCCCTGCATTGTGCCCCACAAGACATACTGTAGAGCCAAGATGTTGGCCTCAGGAAGCACCACTACGTGAGACAGCATCTGGTTAAGTGGCTTTATCCCCTTGGATTTTTGTGTTCCAGTGCCTGGTCCCCTGGGTATTGCTCCTTTGGGTCTGATGGGCTGGGAGGCAAGTGCCTTGGGTATTCTCTTCTGTTTGTAAGAAAGGAAAACTTATGAATGTTAGTTCATTTCACAGGGATGCTGGTATACCTTCCTGATAGTCTTTAATAGTTAGTGTTGTAGAAGAATACTTGAGTCTATTTTAATCAGTTGTGCATCTCTCCCATATTTGTGTTTTGTGTGTCACGGGCAACATGTGAAGAAGAAATGCTCATAAAAGGGTCCATATTCCTCTACAAAATTAATGGGAAATTAGTTCTGGATACATAGAAGTACAAGTTCCTTGTTGCAGATGAATGGAGAATTATACTTGAATGCTTAGAAAAGTGAGATGATATTATATTATCTGTACATTCTGTGAGACTGAAACAGAATATTATTTATAATATTTAATAATAATATTATTGATAAATTATTATTAAAACATCTATTTTTGAAGTGTCTGCTTTGGCAGACTGGTCATAATGAAGAACTTTAAACTTGCTGTAGAATATAAATCCTGGTAGGAAGGAACTCTGAAAGCAACAGCAATTTAGCTGCTTGAAAACCAGACTTGGTTTAGTCTAATTTCTAGCCGAAGAGGTAAAGTGTGGATTCAACACTTTTTAGGTTCTCAATTAAAAGGTCATCCTCATATCATCAAGAGGTCCAGACTCACCATATCATCAGCCTCCTCTCCTGAAAAAGTCACCCTTGTCTGAAGGACAACTGGAAATGCCTAAATGAGATGATAAATATGGTGTGACCTGAGCCAAGAGCCATTTTGCAGTCAAGGCAAAAAAAAATATCATTAAGGCAGATATGTTAGGAAATAGTAGTCTTTTGGTAGACAACTCACGAGACTATATTTGTGAAACTCTATAGAAAGAGAAGCCAATGGAAATTATTTTTACATTTACATCTAAGGCAATTGCATGGATTTATTACTACATCTGGGGCTGTGAGCCTGAGTCTGATTTATTAACTACTGTCCCTTTCAGTTTCTTATCCAGGGTGGCAAACCAGCTGTAGAAAGCTGAAAAGAAGTAGAGTTGCATGTCTTGTCCTTTCAGTGTGTTTCTTGTGTTCATATTGGTCTGTAAACAAACATCTCTCAGGTCTCCTAAATAGATTTTCTGATTGAGTTCCCAGAACAGACCACCACCAGCCTCATTAAAGCTTATTTATGCTACTTTCATGCATGAATAAAAAAGCTTCCATTCACTGCTGATTTTATTTAGTTAGATCCTGTGCCTTGTGGTGGACATTGAATTGGAGTGACATTTTTGGCACACAAAAAAAATAAAAACAGTGGGACTGTGAGGAACTGCTTAATGCCTGCATCTTTTGCAGTGTGAAAAGGAAGGGGTTAACCTGTTCTTGGCTGTGTGGTATTGATTGAGGCCCAGACAAAGAAAACAGCTGTAAATAGTTTGGAGTATTCCCTAGTAGCTGGGGTGTTTTTTGGGGGGATAGGTCATTGAAGTGGAATTCTGGAGGTACAGTCTCTTTCCCAGGGATGCCACCCACTTCCTGTGTGATAGGAGGAGGAAGGTCACTGGTTGCTCTAGGTCTCAGCTCCCCAGCTGAGAATGATGCTGTCTCCCTCCTCTGCTTTTTCCAACTTGCTTGTTTATCTCACTAGCTTTTCAGCAGAGTAACATCTACTCTGCCTCTGTGCTGACCACAGTGGGTCCTGCTCTCAGCTGGGGCTTCTAGACAAATAACAGACATGATTTTCTCTTTATGTCTGTCTTCTCCATCTCCATCCATGCTGCGGTGCCTGTGAGGTAAGATTAACAGCTAAAAAAACCAAACCAACAATAAAGTCAGTATAAATGAAGAACAAGGGAGTAAAGATCCAGTATGTGTGGTAAGTTGTGAAATAGGTTTGAGCAAGGTTTTTCTCCAGCCCTGCTGACTGATGATCCGTCTCATGCGAAGGTACCCCATATTGGGACAAGAATGATTTGAACCTGTATTTTAAGTCAAAGGGGTGAACAAAAAGCAGCTTTGCCTGTTTCCTTTGTGCCAAGCACATTGTGAATATTCTTAAGCATTGCCACAAGGATTAACATCTCTGCATTTTAATGTGCCTGGTGTTGGACTGTAGCTGGAAAGCAGAGCAGGCAGGAATGGTCTCTCCAGGCGGTAGGCTCTGCTAGGTGACTCTTTGAAGTGTTATTCAATACCTTTCTATTACTTTTTATATTATTTTTCCTTTTACCTCTTTTTTCCTCCTTCAACAGCTTCTGGAACAAATCCTGATAGATTTCATGTTTCTCAGATTTACTGGATTGGACTGTTTTATCTCCAAATACCTTTGCATGGCAGTGGTATTTAAAAAAAAAAACCAACAAAATAAACCAAAACAAAAACCCCACGAGGACAGAAGTACGGAGTTTGATGTTTACTTTGGATCATTAACCTGGTCAGCAAATTTGATTTGATCTCTCCTTTTTTTTGTTCCTCCCCTTCTGTCTCTGTGTAATTTCAGAGCCTGCAAAGAGACGCTGTCTTTTGCTGCTTCGGGATCCCAGCAAGAAATGGGAGTCTGATGGATTGTAAATGCACCTGCTTGGTTTAAAGCCCAGCCAAACAGATAAGTGCCCTTTTAATTATCTCAGAACAGTGTTTTAGGCACAGCTGTGCACAGCATCTCTCTTCAGTTTCAATTCGGTGAGCCTCTGTGTTTCACCCCTGCAAATGAATGCTGTGTGGTTCTCACTTCAGCTGAGAAATACCAGATGATATTGGTATTTCACGTTAAGATAATTAATTGGTGTCTGAGGGAACTGCAGCTGAGGGGTTGGGAAGCTCCCGGGGGTCTTTCCCTGCTCCTCCAGAGCCACTGTCTCCAGCAGCCCTGTGAGGTTTTGGGACTCTGAGGAGCAGCTCTGTGGGACCAGATGAGGCTGATGTGACCCATCTGAGCCTTAAGGAGTCCTCTGGGACTCATTAGGGGTTTAATAACTAAACTTGGCTGGTTTGATTGGGAAGATGCGTGTGCAGGCTTGGCATGATCTCAGAGAAACCAGCTCATGCTGCTGGCAGGAGAGAGGGCTTTCTGCATGTGCTAGACATATGTGTGCAGAGAAAGCGATAACCCCCACTTCCTCCTGCTGGTCTCCAGGTGGGAAAATACCTGGGGATGGGGGAGAAAAGCCTTTGGTTATCCTGAGTTTATACAGGGCATGCAAATAAGTATCGTGGGTGACTGGTAACAAGAATTGTCCCCCTCAAAGTTAAGGGGACATTTATATCTATAGGTAGAAAATACAGACTATCAAGAAAGCACTTTCTGGCTGCTTAAATCTGCTTCTATAGGTGACCAATATCTCCTCACAGACACACCACTGCAATTATTAAATAATTCAATAAATCCATAAAATAGGGTCTAATGTACGGTGGAACTTCACAATAGTATACAGACATGCAGCTGTGGCAAATATATAGATATAATTTATATATATTTGCAATTTACTGCATTAGAATAATGAAAAAAAAAAAAAGCACTGAAGCTGAGTGTCTGAGTATTGGTGGGGATGTGTGGGGATTATCTACTACTTGCCTTGCCTGCTCTACCGGGGATAATTAGCAGTGTAAAGTATCTACCTTGCTGTTACAAAAACTACAGACAGGTTTGCTGCAGCAAATTGGACTGCAGTAACTGATCTGAATTCGCCTTACCTACCTGAGCAAAAGGTGTGTTCCTTGGTGAAGGTGGCAGCCTAGGACTGAGAGACAGGAGACAGACAAGGCAGGGAAGTGGGAGGTTGCTGCGTTGGGAGCAAACTAGATTTGGATCAACTCATGTGATCCCTGAAGTCTCTGAAGTTCCCTCTTTTCTAGGAAAAACTTCACTACTGCTGTTACCAAGAAAGCTTTTATATTAATGGAAGAAATGACATGTCTGATAGTAATGACTATGCTCTGGTTTGCAATTGTAAACAGTACTTATTTCTGACTCTTCAATACTTTGAGAGCAAAAAGGCTTGACACCATATTAAGAAACACTGATAAAGTGAAACTCTAGTGAGAAAAAACAAGGCTTGTTTATTCAGGAAGGGTGGATAGAAAGCAAAAAAGGTTAAATCATCTGTGCACACCAACTAATGCAGCTTAATGTTTTTTAACCTCAGAGATCCTCAAGGTCTTAATTGTTAGGTTTGCAACTTTAAATCTGTTTTCTGCCAGCAAGCTGAAATCAATGTACCCCCAAATTAGGTTCCATTAAATTAACCCTAACCTGACCAGTTCCAGTCTGGGTATCAAAGTCAAATTTGCAAATCATATCCTGAAATGTGGCATGCAACATGTAATGCTCTGTGCTGCTTGACAGAAGACGAAGAAAACACTTAAAGTGCCTCTTGGGAGCTGTACTGATGTGAGAGATGATACCAGTTGTGTTCTGTGCACTTGTGTTTGTTTGGTGCATCCTGCAGTTGAGGAGAACAGATTCAACAGATCTTGACAGGTTTCTGAAAAAAAAATCTTGTCCAGAAAAGAAGATCCTCGAATCCCTAACTCCTTGTCTTACAGGTGAGCCTTGAGGACACTTGGGAGACTGTAGCTTCTGAATGCATGACCTTCCTCTGTGATTAGAAGAATGGGGAAGGACAAGAAAGAAGAGGCCATCTTTCTGAGGCAAAAGATAACTTTGCTGAGGGCTTTCTCGCTCCTCATCGGCAGCATGGTTGGCAGTGGCATCTTTATCTCCCCAAAAGGAGTACTGAAAAACACTGGCACTGTGGGTTTCTCCCTGGTTGTCTGGTTTGCCTGTGGGCTCCTCTCAATGTTTGGTGAGTGGTGAGCTTTGTCAGCCTTTGCTTAAGCACCTGGGAGGTGAGGAGAGCCTGCACATTTTCATGTATAAAAAGCTGGAAGATGAACAAACTCAAAATACTTGGTTCCTACTGGAAGAGAAACAAAGGTTTAACAAGCCAGGGGGTGGTCATTAGTTCAAATGATTCCCCTGGGGTGACTGACAAAATTCCAGCACCTACCATCTGTGGATATCAATTCATGTTTGAGTCCAGGGCAGAGGAGTGACGGTGACTGCAGATGGAGTCTCAGTCTGGAGGACAATGAGGGGACTCCTTCTATAAGGTGGAAGGGCGATGTAGGCACCTAAAAGAGAATGGAAAGGCTGTGCTGTGCCTCTCATAGGCGCTGTGAAAAGGGCAAGAAGAGACAGTCTCAATATGCCATGTGGGATCCCCTTTCTGTTGGAGAGAATAGCAAAGCTCTGGAGCAGAGTGCCTGGGGAACTGCAGAGTATCCAGCAGCTGGGGGTGGGTGTCTGGGTGTCTGTCAGAAATGGTGTGGGTATGTCTGATGCTGCCATGGAGCAGGAGATGGAGTAGATCAGTTCAGCCCCACTTTCTGTACATTACCCTTGGCTTGTTTTCTGGCATTTAATACTAGTCTTCTCTCACAAAGGGTTGTCTTTTTGATGACAGTTTCATTTTAGTTCTTCTGAAATAATACAATTCATAAAGTTAAAATGGATAAAACACATGGCTTTTAGTTTCTTTCATTAACTGCATAAAATTACCATCTCAGAAACTCTCTAAAGGTGCTATTAGGACAACTGCAAGATCTCAGCCCAAGAGAGAAATCTGATGCTTATTACAGTGGGTGACTTTAACATTCTTCTTCTGCTGTAACTTAGAAAAAGGAAACAAGAAAGGGGAAATATTCCATGTGAAAAAACCACTTTGACACTGTGACGTGTACATGCAAGTTTAGAAATCGAGACATTCAATTGTTAATATGACAACAAGAGTGGTTCTTACTCTTAGTGTATGTGTACCAATATTTCACATTGCAGCTTATGTGTGGTTGTTTGGTGATTGATACACTTTTGCCTGAAGAAAATCTTATGATATAATGTGAGCATGGTGTTTCTTTTAACCAAGCAGAGCAGTAAATGATAATGTGTGTGCTAATCATGTAGCCCAAGTTCTGCACTTGTAAAGGTTTCTCTCTCCCCTGCATCCCTTGATAGACTCTGCTGGAAGGGCCTTGGGAGCCTCTTTATGAAGCTATTGTATTTTGTAGCTGAATTTGTTGGGTTTTTTTTCTTCCCTTTTATCAGCTTGATGACCTCCCCTGGTCATTTCTCTGACACCTTTTTGCAGTATGTTAAAAAGGCTGACTTGCTTTCTTTTATGATTTTTTTTCTTTCATGATTTTTTTTTTCTTTCAAGCGGGGCATTGCAAGTCCCATTGCATGAGTTCAGCAGAGCACTTAAATGCATGCTTAGAGCATGTAAAGGGACCCACTGGAAAAAATGAGATGAGCTGTCTGCCTACATTCTATGCTTTGAACAGGGATTCTGCACAGATTTCCCAACAGAGAGGCAGGAAAAATTGAGGTTGCCACCATTGGCATGACCTGAATATGGCATGATTGCCACAGGACTTAAGGGCATGACCATATCACCACCAGGTTCCTCTGCACTCTCCTTCCACAGCCACCTGAGCTGGCTGAAGAAGTGGACAGCACAGCTAGAGATGCTCTTACTTCACAGGGTCACATCCAATGGTGCTCAGTTCCACTGCAAGTAGAGTCATGCTCAATGAGAGAAGTGTTTTAGGATTTCTTTTGATGAGCAAATCCAACATAGGCGGGGCTTAAGATTTGTAAGATTTGTACTTCTTCCTCTAATTTACTACTAACTTTAAATGTATTCATTCAATCCCTGAAAAGTCACACAGAAAAGGGAAAATCCATGGGATGATTTACTTGGGACGCTTTTACCTGAACTTTTCCAGGTGCCTTGTGTTATGCAGAGCTTGGAACAAGAATCACCAAGTCTGGAGGACATTATATCTACATTTTGGAGACACTAGGGCCTCTGCCAAGCTTCTTATTCCTGTGGGCAGAGTTTTTTGCTATCAGGTAAGAGATTTTGTTTGTTTACCTTTTCCTGGATGCAGTGACAATTTAGAAACCAAAAAGTTATGATGCCAGGTAACAGTCCAGGCAGTTTGTAAAGGAAAGAGTAGAAACAAGTTGAACAATTTTTAAAGATTTTTCAGTGATAAAAAGAAGAAGGCATAATGAGTAAACAGTTACACACATTCAATATGTTTTGTACTTGAAGAATATCTCTCTTCTCCCCTGGCAGCTGGTTTCCCCCAAGAGCCATGGTATTTTTCAGAGACTGACAATAGATGCCAGATTTATTTCAGATCTTCTGTTTTCATTGTGAAACTTTTTTGGTTTCTCCAGATTCAGAAAGTGGAGACAACTTTCTGGCTTAGCCCCAAGTGAAATAATTTAGAATATTGCGAATGGCTTCTTTTTTTAAGAGTAAAAAGGAAGTCCCCACTTCTCAATAACCTGTGTCCTTCATGTAAGCTGAGATGAAGCAGGACATATGAACCACACCACGTTGCTCAGTATGATTAATCTCAGCTTTTGCTTTCAAGTTGGGAATTAATCTTTTTGCAGCATGTGGTTTTTAACCCATTTACTGAGGAAAAAACTATGAAAAAGACTCTGGGAACTCACCATCTGCATGAGTGAGCAAGATTAAGCCAGGTGGGGAAACTTGCACCCCTTCCCAAGTTTTGTGCAGTTTTACCTCATGCCATTTTTCGACTGTCCTCAGACCAGTTTGTGCTCAGTTCCCTCCCCCACTCTGACCCCTCTTCAGGCCTGCCAACAGTGCTGTGGTTGCCTTGGCGTTTGGACGGTACATGCTGGAGCCCTTCTTTGCCCCCTGTGCAGCCCCTGTCCCTGCAGTGAAGCTTGTGTCTCTCATGGGGTACTGTAAGTACTAACATTTATGGGACTGTCAGTTCTGGAGCCTCTCTGCCCCAGGCCAGGGGCACTTAAGGTGCCTCTGAATATCCTCTGAAATAATGGTGGGATCTGGCTCCTGTCTTACCTCCTTGGCTACACAAAACTTTCTGATTCAAGGTGGTTGATGGTTTTGGGTCACTGTATTCTCCAAGAAGAGGAATGGGCCTCCCTGTTGAGCAGCTGGAGCCCTAAGTCAGGGAGATTTTGCCAGGTATGGGAGCAGAAACTCTTCATGTATAGCTGTGCAAATGCCACCTGGATAGAGGGTGTAAGGCTCAAGATTTTGGACTCCTTGCCTGGTGCATCCAACCTGTGACACTGTCCTGCCTGCTGAGGATTGCTGTGTGCTGGCACAGGCAATGCTGTGCAGTGCATCTACTGAGATGTCCTGGCACTCTTGCACCTTTCCCTCAGACGGGTGTGGATGACCTGGCAGGAACCAGGATCCTGGTCTCTTTTAGGAGCATAAACTTCAAATGCTGTACACTGGGCCACACCTGTGATGTTTTCTGACATCTCTCACCCTGAGCATCCTGCATAAAGATGCAGTCTTGTCCCTGGCATCCCTAGAGCAGGGAATGCCTTTGTAATTTTTCCTGTGCGTGTCAAACATGGGCTACAGCTGTAGCAGTGTGGTCTTCTCTCCAGACATGGTCCTCACCCTCAATTCCTGGAGTGTCACCTGGAGTGCCCGGCTGCAGACGGCTCTCTCCGTTGTTAAACTCCTGGCTCTTGCACTCATCATCGTGCCAGGGATGATGCTGCTGGCCCAGGGTAGGTGTTGCTGCTGCATGGCTGAGGGAGGGTGCTTGATGTGCCCGCCTGTCACAGCTTTTGTCAATCCCAAGTGACAAGTGTGGTGTTCATTTAGCTGGCAGGAGCTTTCTCTTTCCATGTGCTGGATATGAATTATTTGGGAGATAATCTGAGACCAGCGTAGTTGTCACTAAGCTACATCATAGCACTGGGCTGATGCACCTGGCTAGGTGGTGCTTTCTCCAAAACTAAGTGGGCCTTAGTGCCTTAGGCTGTGTGATCCTACCTGGGGTCATACAGGCACCTTGCTCTGCAGATGGTCTTTCTTTGGAGTCAGACTTGCCTGTCTGGCAAGCATGGCTCAAAATCTCAAAATCTTTCCAAAGCACAAATTTGAAGGACATTAAGGGTGTGTGACAGCATCCCATGGTGACCTGAGCCAGGCACAACTGTGCAATGAGTTACCAGCCCTCAGCTGAACCCTGGTCATGGCATCTCTAACCTTTCTGTGGCTTATGCTAATGTTTTTTTCCTCCAAATCCAGATGGGCAGTAATTAAGGGAACTTACAAAGGAATCCTGCAGGCTTGCATGCTCACATTCAGAGTGGGGGCTAAAATACCCTACTAGCAATATCTTCTGGGAATGATACAAGAGTATTGGCTTTCATCCAAGCCTCAGTTTATAGAAAAACCCGAGTCATTCCCACTCAAGGGAGGAAACTTGCTCCTTGCTCCCTCCCTTCATGCTATTACCTTCCTCTGCAGAGAAAACACCACAGGCAGTGGGCTCCATGTTCATGTTTCTTTCTGATGTCTGGAATTGGCTCCTTTGAACATGCAAAGATCTACTCCCCCCCCCCTTCCCAGGCTGGCAGCGCTTCTGAACTGAAGGACTGCCCTGCAGCTAGAAATCCCAAGCCATTATTGTTAGGAATGCCTTCAAACAACAATCTGGAGCCCTGGCATCAGTCCTCCAGTGGGGAGGATAAGTGCTGGTGACATCTGGAGGGAGAATTCACTAAGAGACCCCAGTATGACAGGTTGTATTTAATGTGACTCACAAGGGACAATGCATTGCAGACAATAAATCTGTTTTATGCACCATGACTTATCAGCCATCATTTTAGAACATAAAAAGTGTACCCCAACAGGCCCACTCCTACATTTTGGGTTAGGTTTTTCAAATCTATTTTCACTATTTTCACTTCATTTCTTTTGTGCTTAAAAATCAGTTTTGTCCTTTTAAACCAGTTTGCCTGATTCCCCTGCTTTATTCTACTTTTTTTTTTTGTTTTGTTTTGGTTTGGTTTTTTTTTTTTTTGTTTTTTTTTTTTTTTGTTGCACTTTAGTCTTTTCCTCTGCCATTATCTTCTCTTTGGCTCAGGTTTATTTTAGAGACTTGCTGGGCCAGCATTTCAAACCAAAATGTCCAAATTTCATCTCTGAACTTCTTGCAGAAGCACCTCCATAGAAGAGGCCTAACTTTCTCCAGATGCTCCATGCCATTTCATCCCTTTCCTGGTGAAGTCCAACTAGAAAAGCTCCACGCCTCTTACTTTTAAAGAGACTTTAATATGGAAAACTGAATATAGACATAAAACCATACCTTCAACCAGCCAGATTTGAAAATATTGGAAATGCAACTATTTTTAACTATGTTTGAATGAGAGGCCATTAGACATTTCTCTAAGTTTTTTTTTTTGGAGTTAGAGAAAATCCTGACTTTGGGGTTTTTTTTTTGTTATGTTTTGTTTTGTTATTTCAAGCACAGAACTTGTAGGGAAATTGGGGGAGTTAGAAAAACAGGTTTTCTATCTGAGCCACCTCTGCTTTTTAAATCTATTTGTTTTTCTGTCTGTGTCCTTCTCGTGTGGGCAAGCAGGGGTGGTGGGCAGGGAACCTTCCTGGACAGGGGGCCAGACTGGCAGTCCCTGCTCCTGTTCCCTCCTCCACCCGAGTTCCCATGCTCTGGCCAGTGCAGGGCTGGGGTCAGTGCTCCGGCAGCGGGAACAGGAGGGAGCACAGTGAGAACCGAGTTTGCTGCCTCGCTGGCTGCACCACATCAAAGAGGAGTGTGTGTCCAGCTCCTTAGGGGGCTGGAGAGGGAAAATGGGGGTCAACCCAGAAAATTAATTTTGGGCCTGGAGGAAGGACAGGACTACGTGAGTCTTCTCCTCTCCACAATCTCCTGTTCCCATGGCAGGCTCTGTTGGAAACAACCATCTGCCACTGTTGCCCTTCCTGAAATGTCTCCTGTAGCTGGACAAGGGATAGATTTTTTTCTGTCACTGTGGGGAAGTAAATGTGTCAGCAACAGCACTGCAAATTAAAGCAATGAAAGAAATCTGAATATCTGGTTCCAAGGAAGTCACAAACAATACTCCCAGGTCTGGATGAGAGGTACAAGGGATGTTATCCCACAGGGAAAGAAGGCTCTCTGTGACATTTCCCTACTCCATGTCCATTGTTTATCTCCTCTGCAGGCCACACCGAAAACTTCCAGGATGCTTTTGACAGAGAGTCACTGGTTTTGGATACACTCCCCCTGGCTTTTTACGCAGGCATGTTCGCATATTCAGGCTGGTAGGTGGAATGGGGGCGCTTCATGAGCAGCAAACAGGTGCCCTCAGCATGATTCAGACTGACTCCCTGTTTCTTCCCAGGTTTCAGGCCAGCTTTGTGCGCGAAGAGTTGGTCAGACCTGAACGGTGAGGCTGGGAAAAAGTTGTCTTAGGTTACCAGCTTCTGGGATATCACGCTTTGCCAAATGGGAGGAATTAGTTTGTGGGCTCACCTAACAAATGCCAGTGACAGTCTGTAGTAATACCGTGCATAACAAGGGATAGCAGCGTGTTCTTTGTGTGTCTGTCTTCCTCTTTCTTGTAGAAATATCCCCCTGGCTGTCATCATCTCTGTGATCACAGTAATTGTGGGGTACATGCTCACCAACGTCTCCTATTACACAGTCCTGGGAACACAAGATGTTCTGGCTTCTCCTGCTGTGGCTGTGGTGAGTTTTTCCACTATTCTTATCTCTTCAGCGTGGTCAGCTTATGCTGTGATCGTAGCAAGACTTTCAGAGGTAGTTTTCCTATAAAGTATTTTGTTGCTTTGTAATTTCTCCGGATTACTGGGCAACAGTAACTTCTTCTAGTCTTGTCTAAAAGATAAGGAAAAATAGCCTGCAGATGACAGTAGAAAAAGCGAGATTTAGGAGTAGAGTTTTTTCTCTTTTGAACCTGATGTCTCCTAGAGATCACCACATGTTCCTAAAGTCAGGCTTGCTCTTCCTCCAGAGCTTTGTGCAGCGAGCCTTCAAAAGCCTGATCTCTGTGGTCCCTGTCCTTGTCGCACTGTCCTGCTTTGGAACCATGAATGGAGGAATCTTCACATTTTCAAGGTCACATCCCTACAAATTTATTATTCCTTTGGCTTACTGAATCAGAGGGAAGCACCAGCAACCTGTGCAACTCTCCATACACATAATGACATTTTAGACCCTTCTGTGGGAAAAATAAGGCTTTGACTCTCACGTTGTCAACTGCATGATGGTCCCTATTGGCTAAGATTCTGTTCTTTCTGTTTGTGACCAGGCCTGGACAAACAAAGATTTTTATCTTCTCCCCCCACCCTTCAGTTTAAATCCCCACTTTAAAGTGAAATGTCAATGTTTCTGTTGAACTAGAAGCTTTGTTGACGTTGGCAGCTGCTTGGTGAGACCTGGCTCTTCTTTCACTGGGTTCACCCAGCTGCATTTCTGCAGGGCACAGGGTCCCTCTGTTGTGAGGATCTCTGGCCAAAGGCAAACTCTCCCTTGAGGACTTTGAGGTCAGTGAAATGTTATCGGGATGGGCTATTCCTAAAACAATAGTTGATGTTCAAAAAGTCTTGTTGTAGCAATAAGAAACACTTTGTTCCATGGAAAAATTAACTTTCCAGCTTCACTGTCTACCACACTCTGTGTCCTTATTGGAGCCTTGAGGTTGGAGAGGAGGACAGAGCTCACAGAGAAGTAAGTTGTACTGGTCCTGAGGACCTGAGAGAACTCTCTGGAGCAGGTTCTGTTTCATAGCTTTGATTGCAAAAGGAAAAATCAGTTGAAATGAAAGAAATGTTTCATAGCATGAAAGATAATGAGATATTTGATCCACTAGCCTGAAGTCCTGTATTAAATACAGGTGTGGAGAATCCTCCCTGTTAGTCCTCTAGATAGTGTTTTTTGAGGATGAGAAGTCTCCAGACAGCGCAAAGGTTCTTCATGTCCCCTATCGCCTTTCTCTCCCCCATCCTGGCGTCATTAACATAATCACTGCAGAAAGTCCATATAAACATCCCTGAGGCCTCCCTGGCTGCCTGCCAGCCACACCCCTGCAAAGCCACAGAGACAGCAATAAAACCAGTTGTACACTCATGCCCCAGCTGCTTTGGGCCCTGCTCCAGCCCAGCTGATGCTCTGGCATGGTTTTCTTGTGGATATTAAATTTATAAAATTGGATGCAATTGCCTTCTCCCTGCTAATTGCCCTTTCGTGAGTCAAAGGAGGCATGGAGGCAAGGAGCTCTATGCTCTCATTTTGTAGCTGGTCTTGTGTATAGCTGGCCTCTTGGCAGTATGACAAAATATATATTTTCCAACAGCTGACCTGAGGATTGAAAATCCTCTATTATTTGAGGAAATTGCACTTCATTTTTTTAATATACATTTTATATATATAAATATAGGCATCAAGACCGACAATCCCCTTTCATAAACTCAACAGCTTCTCTTATAAAGGAATGAAAGTTGTGATCCCTCCACTTCTTTACACTGAAAAGACTAACCCCTTTTCTGATGGTGAGACTTTCTTGCTCCTGTTTCCAGCCTGAACTCATTCATGGTCAATTTGGACTTGTGCAAAGGTCTCTGCTAATGAGCCACCCAAGGGGATGCTGCCAGCGGTCCTGATGGTGGGCTGTACTCTGTGTTGAACTAACTGGTTGTGGGAGAGCTATGGAAACTTAACACTGGGTTTTTCTTCCAAATGCCCCCGAAGTGGAGCTCTGAGCAACCTGGTCTAGTGGCAGGTGTCCCTGCCCATGACAAGGGTGTTGAAACTAGATGATTTTTAAGGTCTCTTCCAACTCAGACCATTCTATGATTCTCTGAAAGTGCAGCTAAAGGCAGAACTGTGGCCTTGACTAGGAGACCTGGGCTGGGTTAGCGAGTGGGTGCCTTGTGGCCTCAGGTTGGTTCAGTGACTGATTTCATTTCTAGTCTAGATGTAGGATGCTAATGCATAGGGCTCCCTGTCTTTTCCTAGGACTCTGTTTGTGGCTTCCAGGGAAGGACAGTGGCCTCCTCTCTTCTCCATGATCCACATTCGAAGGCATACACCCCTTCCTGCTGTCATGTTAATGGTAAGGAGATCTGGCTGTGTGAACATTCTCTGTTCTTGCATTCTTGGCTTTCCTGCAAAGACTGGACAAGCTGAGGAGTTTTAAAGATTGTTGAGACATTAATTCAGCCTCTGAAAAATAAAAAAGGCATGATACAGGAAATGGCTGCAAAGTATTACATCCTCTTGAGCCAACAGTGCCATCAGTATACAAATACACTACTTGAAGTCCCTGCCTTATAACCTTGGACACCTTTTTTAAAAGTGATCTCCCTACCCCCTACCACTTGTTATTGTCCTGTGAAAGCACCAATAAGCTTTGGTTTTTTGGAAAATGAAAATTCCTGGGTGCGGTGGAAATGCTGGGAATGAACACTTGCGGAGATTGTTTCCTTTTCGGTTTGTTTGTTTGTTTGTTTGTTTTATGGCAATGGTCCAGCTACATCCTAACTGCTGCAGTGCCTCTTAGTCAGCTTGCCTGACCTGCTGAAAACTTAGCAAGTGTCTTTGTAGGTAGCCTGTATACTGGCAGGCCTTTGGATCTTGCTTGTTTTAATTGCCCTGCCTTGGACATAAAGCATCGAAGATCTTGCTGATCTTGAAAGGATTGCTCCTTTCTGTAGCACAACAGAAGACTGTGTTTAGGCCTTTTGCCTTCAGTCTGTGACACGTTTGTAAAGCTCTCTGACCTCTGAAATGTTGGGCCTGTGAAGTAGCTCTCTGGGGCTGCAGGGGGGCTTCAGGAGGTGACCCATATTACCCTTTCCAGTCTGAGGACCATGACAAGGTTTTAATGACTGTGTTTCATCTTCACACTGCTCAGTTCCCTTTGGTCACTGCCATGGTGTGTGTTGGAGATATCTACCATCTGATGAACTTCTTCAGCTTTTCCCGATGGCTCTTCATAGGATTAGCCACCCTGGGGCTCATTGTCCATCGCCACCGTCACCCGGAGCTGCACAGCCCATTCAAGGTAATGCTCATGGCAGGCTGGAATGTGCAGACTTGTCAAGTCTCTCTTTTGTTTGCTGGTAATTAGAGCATTACATGGTCATAGTTGCATTTAGGCTCTAAGGGATCTCAATCCCTGATGCTCACTAAAGGCATGTGGAGAGCTCCTGAAATTGGTTGGTGTACCCAAACAGCCTGATGTGATAAATCCTATAAAGCCGGTTCTATGTGGTGTCACTAGCTGCATCTGTTAGAAGAACACTTGCTCCTGGGGACAAAGTTTCAGGCTAGGAACTGGGAGATGTACAGAAAGCAGTTCCCACACATCTCTTGTGGGCTACAAGGAGGGACCCTTGCCTGGGTTTTATTTCAGTGTTAGGTAATTCTCAGCTCTAGCTGAGAAACAGAAGAGTATCGGGCTTGGGGTAAAAAGAGTGGCCAGAGGGGTCCTGGGAGCAAACCTGACTCGAGAGGAAGCATCTGCTGGCATAGAAATACTGTCTAGTATAAAGCAGTGGTCCCTCTGGTGGCCCTTCTTAAGCTGCTGGGTGCTGGGATCTTCCTCATGTCAGCTGGAGCAGCTTTCTTGCACTTGGGGCACCTTTCCCACTGCTGGATAATGTGTAGAAGGCACTTGGCCAGGGTGGTGCTTGAGGCAGGCACAGTTTGTTCCTGTCTCTGGTGACGCCTGCATGGTGCCTCCAGCCAGGCCTGGGGAGGAGAAGAGACTTCAAAGGCCACTGGCAGTGGGCAGCTGGTCAGCAAGAACCTTGGGGGACAGAAACACTTCCTGTGGCTCCCAGGGCTCCTCCTTGAGCTTTGTGCATCCTGATGGAAAGTTTGGGGTAATTTTTCTTCTTGCTCTTTGCTGTCAGACAGTGTGTTTGAAGCTTCCTAGTTTGTTGTCTGGCTGCACTCATGCATGCCTCCAGAACCAGACTTTAAATAAGTTTTTGCTTTTTCTTTCAAACCAAGCTTCTCAGGGGAGGTTTATTAGTGGGTGGCACTGCTGATCATTTCAGTTGCTGAGATTTTGCCCTGTTTTGCTTTAGACAGAGATTCAGAATTTTAACAGCTCCTAAACGCTGGTTAAGCAAGGGAGGGAAATACTGGCCTTTTGGTCAGTCGGGTTGTTTTCCGCCCGTTCTCTCCCCAGTTTTACAAGCACTTGAAGCCCCCAGCGCAGCCCTCTGCAAGAGGAGGAGCTGCGCGCAGGTGGCTGGGCACATGCTGCGCTCTAGTGGCCGCACTCAGGCCGGCTCCTGCCGCGGGCCTGAGGAGAACGAAACAGGACACACGTGCGACTGTGCTGGTATTTATTCTCCCTATAGCATCTTGAGTTGAAAATGGTGAGAAAACACCGGCAAGAGGAGGGGGAAGTTCTCTCACTCGCCTCTCAAGCAGATGAGCAGCATGAGTGTGTACCCGTAGGAGAGGCTGGCAGGGGATGCTCTGGCTGGAAAGACAGCAGGAACACATAAGTTTGATGGCTGGATGTCTGCAATATCTAGACCAACTGATCTCTTCCAGCTTGGCATGGTAAGCATCCCAAATAGGATCTTTATTACTGGAAGAGAGATTGTCACCCTTGATGAGAACAGCAGCTCCTTCATTCCATCACCCATGGCAAGGAGTTACTTGCCTCAGTCTGGATCCAGAGATGGAGAGGGTGTTTGACAGTTTTCTTATTTATTGCAGTCTTCTGATTTACTCTCTAAATAACCCAGATGAATTGGCTCATCCAGCAGGGTATGGCTAAAGTGCTGACTGCTGCTTTCATCTTCCATCAGGGTGTTGCTGAAGCTCATGTTCTTGGTAGAGGTACCATAGAGAGAGGGAGTCTGGCTAGTCTGTTTTAGTCACTATAAGTCTTAGGCAAGCTGAAGGCATGTCAAAACAAGTAGTGAGTTTTATAACTAAAGAACAGTTTGATTCAAAGTGTCACTTCTATCCTTGGCTTCAGATTTACCACCAGCAGTTGCCCTAGGTGACAAGCAGGTATATGTGCATGCACAGGAGCAGGGCATTTAGAGAGCAATGGTGCATAGGTGACTTCTCTGCTTGCTTGGTTTCCAATTGTAAGTGAGGTTTATATTTTGATGCACATGAATATAGGAGGCATGAACCTCACAGGGCACACTGGTCTCTGAATCTGATACAATTGTTTGCAATCTGATTGTACAGAAGTACAGTACAGGACAGGTACATGCTTCTTCTCCCCTTCTTTAGATGGAGAAGTAAATACAGTGTGTGCTGGCATGTATGGAGTCTGATTTGCTACAGCCATCAGTTTTGCCTGACAGTCTTCTGTACTCTTTTCCCCAGGTTCCCCTCTTTGTTCCTGTCTCTTTTACCATCATCTGCCTCTTCACAGTGGCTATGTCTTTCTACTCAGACCCTGTGAGCATCAGCATCGGATGCACCGCGGTTTTAAGTGGTTTTCCAGTCTACTATGTCCTAATTCATAGGCAGATGTCAGACCGTTGCTGTAACCTGTTTTGTAAGTATGCGTTTGAGTATTGTGGACCTAAACACACTCAGGATGCTGGTTTGTTCCCAGGGCTCATCTCTAAAGCAAATTGTTCCATAACCAACAGACCTCATGAAACCTAAATCATGACCCCTGGCACCCCTTAAGCAGCTTTCCCAAGGCAGAGCCTCCACAGCCAAATTTGTTTTAACAAAGACAGGGCTGAGGTCTGCCAACACGGGGAACTGAGAAGGTTGCTTTCACCCCCCAGCCCTGGTTCCTACTAAACTTTATTGTACCTTTGAGATCACCAGCTCTGGGTCAAATTTGTCTGAGACTGAGCACCAAGACCAAAAGTTAGGATGGAGACACTGACAGGCGGACACTGTAACCCCTTGTTATTAACAAATATAATTGCTGAAAGGCTGGGGGGAGGACTGCTAGGAGAAGACAGTGCTGCCTGAGGTCTGTCTGCTTGGGGAAGAGGCCAGGATGGTTAAGGCACAGATGTGGGCGTGTAAATGAAATACATGTCCGCTCCATGCAGTGTTTAGCACAGATTTCCTTTGCATGTAGCTCTTATTTTCAGCCATATATCAGGATTTCCTCTGGACTAAGCTTCCTTCCTTTTTTTCCCACCCTTTCAGATTATCTTACACACAAACTACAGTTACTGCTGGAAGTTGTCCAACAAGAAATCAAGACTTATTGAGAAAACTGTCAAAACTCACAGGAGAAAATAAAATCTACTTACTCCATTTCTGACACCTTTGATCCTTCCAAAATCAGGCCATGCTTTTATTCTTTTAGTGACTGCAAATGAGGATGAACCTGGGCCAAAACCTTGCTGCAAGTGTTCCCAAGCTTGCCAATTGGGATTGGGATGCACGTATCACATCTGCTTCTGCCCTTTTCTTTTTTCAGAAGAAGAAACTAGCTCTCTGAAATGAGCTTCCTTTGCCTACAGTGTCTTTGAAATCAAGATCCTAATTTTGCAGCCTAGCCTGGTCCTGAGTAAAACTGTGTGTGTATACACACACAATATTTTATTTTCTTAACTTGGCAAATAGAGGAAGGGAGCATGTTGCAGTACATAGAATCCAATACATGGAAGCCAAATGCAGGTTTCAAACTGAAGTGCTATAGTATCTGTGCTGTGGGCAAGCATTATGAAGGGAGAGGGGTGAGGAGAGCAGATTAGAGAAAAGGCAGATGAATTGGAAAGGAGGAGGCAGGGGAATAAAACTTCATTCACCAGAAAGTAGAGATTCAGGTTAATAAGGTATTTTAAAACCATTTCAAATTCAAGTATTAACAAAGTAAGATCAGAATGTTTTATTTTGATTATTCTATAAGCAGAATAAGTTTTTTTAGCTTTGAAATCATCTTTCAACTTTGAATTTTATTTTTCTAAAATGACATTTTAAAATGTACAAACACATTGAACAAAACCAGCTGAATATCAACTGGAATACGAAACAATAGATCCTGATCCCTTCCCAGCCCCACTGCTCTCCAGTGAATGACTTGCTGATTCAGTACGTGAATGCTCATTTGAACTAATGGCATAGGAGAGGTTTCCGTTATCGGATTACTTTGGTTTACATTATTAATGTGGCAACATTATGTCCAGATAAAACAGCAATTAGCTATTTCCAATCACATAATTGTTAATCGTTTCCTAGAAGGTGGGAAGTAGCATGCTGGGACTCCTCTGATGATTGCTGGAGAGAGCAACAGCAGAACATGGAGCATTTTTAATCTTTTGTATCCAGCATTTATGTACTTACAATAAAAACAAAGTACCATTTACAAATCCAATGTCATCTACTGAAACTTGTAAAATTTTGGAACTAAGTAAGGTGGGTGTTTTTTTTTCAAAGCAATTGAGAGTTATTCTTGTTATGACTGCTTCCTGTTCCTGTGCTGAATTAAGCTGGGACAGCAGCAGTGTGGTTGGTAGGGCTCATTTCCCCACTTCCCCCCCTCCAATTTAATTTACAAGCTGCTGGACATCGTCCAACAGGAAATCCAGTCTTATTGAGAAAACCATTGAGAAAACCTACAGGAGAAGATACTGGCTTTAAATGCTAGTGTGGTTTCAAATGAGATCTAGAAATGTTTCCAGGAACCCAGACAAGAGTTGGTCCCTCCTCATGCCAAGCTTTGCTGAAGCTGAACCCCTTGGCACACCTTTCCACAGCAGCCCATGGACAGGACCCTGTGTGAGTGGCCAGGGAACCAACCTGCAGAAGACCTTGCAGAACCAGGTGAGCCTGGTCACCCCAACATTTCCCGAGTCCAGCTGCTTAGGTGCTGATTTGGGGGATTTTCCACAGCTTGAGGTAGAAGCATGAGGTGCTGTCAGCCTGGTCCCATGCTGCAAGACCCCTGTGAGCACAGCGTGCCCATGCCATAGCACCAGTACTCCCACATCAAACCTTGGAGCAGTTTGAAACTGCAACAGAGCTGCTGTGTGTCTGCAGACAGGCACAGAGAAAGGGTGAAGTGTCCCTTCTTTGTCTGTTTCCTCTGAAGAGAAAAAGTGAACAAGAATTGAAATTCCTGGGAGAAAACTAAGAAACCCTATCTGGAGGACCATGGTTTTTTTTTAATACAGGATAAATCGTTTGACATATGCAGGGAAACCACACTTGGGTGCCTCTGCTGACTGTGCAGGAATATGATCTTGCAGGGCTATATATATGATGTCTGCTCCAAGACCTGTCAGATACTGGAAATACAGACAGATATAGGACTGTGGCTGCACTGACAGTGAGAAATCTGAGGTTCAACAGCTCCATGGATGACATTGCAATTAAAAGGGATAAAAACAATAAAAAAAAAAGATGCTCACAAGGTATCAATTTACAGTGAGCTCAAGTCTCCAGTTTGTGGAGAGTTGTTTGCTTTTAGAGAGGATGGTATGCTGCTCCCAGCAAAGCTATGTAAACATTTTCTACCAAGCCAGAATGTTTTTCCTAGAGCTACCTCATGCATACTGAAATTCTTAGCTTCAGTTCAGAAGTGTATTTTACTAGAGAATTCACATAAGCAAAAATGAAGCTCTAGGACCTGATCCTATAAATCTCATCAGTCAAAGGGAAGCATAAAAGCATAAAAGTTATGCTACTGTGGAGATGAAAGCCAGATACTACATAGCAGGTCAAAAGCCAGACAAGACAGGCCAGATGCGGAAGAAAGTAAGTTCAGCTTCATAATCACATTTGTGGCATTATGTTTTGAATTTTTTTTTTTAATACTATGTCTATGAAATGCACTCAGAGTGCACCCTTTCCAGAAACTCAAACAGAGATTTATGTGTTTCGGCCGCTACTGATCTAGTGTGACTGGATCATCGTGAAATAAAAATGTTCAGGGTAATCCAACTGAACGCAATTTGTGTAACAAAAAAAATTAAAGTAATGTTTACATCTGAAAAAGTTTGCATAGTCAAGACTACTTGACCTGTTGTTAAGCTTTATGCTTCAGTGCTATGTTGGGAAACACTGTCAGCTTTTTAGACTGAAAGGCTCGAGGTCAGACTGGAAAGCTCCTAACCCTTCTCTGATTTCCATGGGGAAGAGCAGAGCTGAGGATCAGACTTCAAAGTACAGGAATGCAAACACTTGGGACTGTGCACAGCTCAGAGGGCTGACTGAGCCTGCCTCACAGGGCTCTGTGCTTGGCACACACTGGTTTGTGTGGCTCCATGCAGCACTGAATACTGCAACCCCGCCAGCAGTGTGATAACCAGCCTGGGGAGAGCATGTTGAGCGATGTACCCACTTTCTGCACTGAGGTTTGGGGTTCACTTTGCAAGGCATCACCAGTTTTTGGCTTTCAAAGAACGATGTTCAGCAGAAGCTACTCCTTGATGAAAGGAGAAGGTCCTGAATATCCCCGGCCACTAGAAAGTTGGGAGGAATCGGCTTCAGGTAAGTGCTGGTGTGCAATGAAGGGGAACCAAGCAGTAGGAATAAAGCATGCTGCTTTGTAATGATGCTGATTTTGCAGATATATGTGCCAGAAACGTCTGCTGCGCCTGGCTGGGTGTGCTCACGCCTGTGCAGACGCGCATGCGTATGTCGCAATAACCAGAAGGAAATGTTACTCAGCTCCGTTTTCCTGAGGGTCTGTGGCACAGAGGTATCCATGCTGTCCCACGGAGAGAGGCTTCGACAGAGACAGCAAGGTACAGGTGTGCTGTTGGGAGTTCACAAGGAGTTCTCACAGGCCAGTTGTACTTTATTTTCAAAGGTCTTACTGCACCTGGGGCACCTTTCCCATGCGGAGCAGGGGTTCAACAGGCTCATCCAACCTGTCGGGCACAAGGTTGATGCCCCCAGCTCCCAAGGGTGGTAGCTGGGCAGCCTGCCAGGGGGGTGGCACATGCCGGGCTGTGACAGCTTTCCCGGGGTTCCTGCTGAGCAGGGAGGGTCAGAGACACAGGAAGTTGGGGATTTCATGGCTTGGCTTTAAGGTCTGTTGGAGTTAGTCGTACTGTAAGCCATGTTTATATTTCATTAATTCATCTTTTCTCCTTGTGTGAGAGAAAAGGTAGCATGAGGTTGCTTTTTATGTTTAAAATTCCCTCTGTATCAAGTTATTCCTGTAGAGATATAAAAAAATTTACAGATGCACAAGATCCGATAGAGAAATCTTCAGCAAAAGGTGAAGGACACTACCTGTCCTGCCAGCAAAGTATTTCTGTCTGCTTTTTAAGTGTTTCATCTCTGTTTATTTCTAGTTGGGGTTAGTTGGTGAGTGGAAAATCCCTGCAAGGAGCAGAAAGTGGAAAGTGAAAGCAAGGCATAACTGGACACTTTTGAAGGTTCATGTGATTAGGGCAGACTGGGAGCCCTGGATCTTGGCAGGGGAGCCAGCAGGGGTTAGCATCTGCCTATGGAGTGGGGATAGACCAAAGAGGGAGGGAGGCAGCAGTGGAGAAAAGCTGCTTGGAAGTATCATCCCACCCCACTTGCCTACTTTCCTCTCCATTTCCCCCATCCCCCTCAAATCCCACATTTCAAATCCACAAACTTCAAATTCTTCAGCCAGTGCTAGCAGCAGCACCATTGTGCTGTGCAGAGGGGAGAAAAGGGATGGCCACATCCAAAGAAACCTCCTGCTGGATCTCTTGAATCTCCTGCAGTGGGACTGATCTCCTGCAATGGTCGAGAAGACGAGTTTGGAGCATTTTCTAGGAACAGACCTGGCTGCTGTTACTGAGCAGAAAGAGTGACCGTGGTCTGAAGGCAGCACTGGAACAAGCGACATTTGCAAAGGAGACTTGAGTCTTTCCTCACTCTTTCTTCTGGCAGTCCAGGGACTGCCAAGCCTTTGTTGTGTGGACCTTTGCACTGTAAATAGCTCTGTGAGGGAGCTCCTCCTATAACCATTTCCTCTCACTAGCCTGCTCCAAATTCCCATGATCCCTGCTGAAGTATGAAGGACGTCAGAGCCGGATACATGATCATTTCCAATTTCTGTTTCCGTATTGTGTTCAAATTCTTCAGGCAGCTCAGAGCAGACCCTTGCCGCAGACCCTTGCAAGCTCCACGGCTGGCAGGGGGGCGTCTCTCAGCTATGGGTATGTGATCCACGATAGTTAATGTTGCAGGGACAGTGAAGTGGTGAAAAAAGCGTTGTCTGGGTCTAAAACTGGGATATTGAATGGAGGCTGAAGCACAGCAGCAAGCAAAGTAAAATCCTCCAAATTGGAATTATTGGTGGCTACCTGTTTCAGCTTCTTCTTTTTGTAGGTGCTGTGTCTCTAGGGTAGACTGCAGAGCAGAGGCTTTGCTGGTAAGTAATGATATCCCCCGCTCCAAGGAATTTGACCTTGTCTGGCTGTCAGACACCCGGCTAGCTCTCACTCCTCATCCTCAAAAGGACAGGAGAGAGAAAATAAGATGGAAAAGTTCATGAGTTGAGATAAAGACAAGAAGATCACTCCCCTGTTCCTGACTTTTCTACCTCCTCCTGCCCCTACACCCTCCCCCCCCCCAATACAGCAGGGAAGGGAAATGGATGTTGTCCTCGGTAACTCAGTGAGAGTCGCCCTCTGCACCTCCATCGTGCTCAAAAATTTCCCATGCTCCAGAACGGTTCATTTCCCATGGACTGCAGTCCTTCAGGATAAGCCTGCTCTAGTAAGGGTTCCTCTCCATGGACTGCAGCTTCCTTGAGGGCCTGCCCACATGCTGCAGCATGGGGTTCTCCACGGGCTGCAGTGTGGATATCTGTTCCACCACGGTCCTCCACAGGTTGTGGGGAGGCAGCCTGCCCCACCATGGCCTTCTCCTAAGGGCTGCAACGGAATCTCTCCTCCAGCACCTGGACCACCTCTTCCCCTCCTTCTTCACTGACCAGGGAGTCTACAGGGTTGTTTCTCTCACATTTTTCCTTACTCCTCACTGCTCAGCAGCTTTCTCAGAGGCACCACCAGCTTGGCTGATGAGCTCAGCTGTGTCCCGCAGTGGGTCTGTTGAGCTGGCTGTGTCTGGTGTGAGGCACCCCAGGGGCTTTGCTCACAGAGGCCATCCCTTCAGCCAACCACTGCCAGGACCTGAGCACCTGCACCTGGTACAGTACCTGTGAGCAGCAGCTTTGTTTTCCTGAACATTGAAGGAGGGATGATGCTATCAGTGCCTTCTGAAAGCACTCTGACTTCTGCAGCTGATCACACACTGCTCAGAAGCCAAATCTTATGCCTGTTAGCCAGGTGGCATCACTGGCCTTCATGCAACAAGCTGAGTTTATTGTGTCAAGTGTATTTCCTTACAATGTGTATTTTAGAAAGATATATTGTAGAGAAAAACAGTGATACAGGTCCAAGACGGAGAGGTCAGGGTTATTTCTGTGGTGCTTACCATGCCACTGTCACGGGTTTACTTTTTCTAAGAAAACCAAACGGGAATTTTCCTTTGCCCTGCTGCACGTGGGGGAAGGATATTGAGTTAGGAGGACAGCTCTCTGCCTTGGGTGATTAACTACACAAAGGAGCTGGCTGGCAGAAACTACATTCCAGGCTAATGGCCCTTCCAAATCTGCAGGGAGGGGAGTAGTTTCTCCTCCTCTCCTTACAAACAGGGAACATTTCACTTTTTGCCTTAAGGGAGGCAAGGTGTGTGTGTATGTTTTGCTCTCGACCTGGTCATCTGGCTGCTCTCCTCAGCTTGCCTGCGCGCTGCCCCTGCCTCCAGCCCGAATCTGCTCAGAATTCATCGGAGAGTTTGTGCTCGTCGGGGAAACGGAGGAGTCCCGACCGCAGCCAGCCGCAGACAAAGTGAGTTTCGTGGGAAAGAAACCACCCTTCTTTCCCCTTCTCCCCTTCCCCTCCTTGGAGCTGGGAGATCTCCATTGCGGCTCCTCCCGTGATCCGGGCCCCCCCCCCCCGGTGGCCAGAGCCCAGCAGCGCTCCCCTCCTGACCACCACAGAGCACTGCAGGCTCTGCTCCTTCGGCGATCCAACAGCGCTCCTGCCAACCCTGGTCAGAACCGCGCTAGGGGACAGAGAAGTATCAGGCTGTTTCCTTTTCGAAGGGGACTTTTGGGTACAGGATTATTGCTTACTTGTTTTTGTGTTGTGTTACTGTTTTTTGCCAATATACATATATCCTTTAATAAAGAGTTGTTATTTCTTCCTTTTTCCGTGCTTCCTCGATCGGAGCCTTTTAATTTCGGATTTACAATTGCCGAGAGAGAGGAGTTTGGTCTACCTCATAACTCGTCCTCCTTAGCAAAACACTCCAGGTCTCTTTAAACTGAGACAGTCACATAAATGTATAAACAGCAGTACCTTGGTTCTGGGGCAAGCCTGCACTTCCCAGCTGAAGGGGGTCTCCTTTTTTTGAGAAGTGATTAGATTTCTGATCAGACCAGGGATATTGCATACTTTGACAGCTTTGGAAGATCCTACTTGAATCTGGATTTCTCTTTCAATGTAGGGCAGAGCAAGCAGCCAAGCACTGATCAGCTCTTCTGCACCTGTGTTATCCCTGGATTCATCTGTCTGCTCCTGAAATGGAGTACTCCTGGTATTGGCTTGATGACTCTGAGCAGTGGATTGAGTATGGGAAAGAGGTGAGATCCGTCTGCTGTTGATGCCAAAAGCTTTTGTTAAACCATCTTTGGACAGTTATTTAGGGCACGTTGTTCTGCAGCTGGTGTGTTCTACACGCACCGCTGGGTGCCCTTGCAGTGCTGCTCCGATGCTCGGGTGGAATTGTCTTATTAATTGTCCCTCAAAGCAGGACTGGAACTCTGCGAAAGCTTTTAAAGGACTGGCTTTGAAAGCATGTGCATTTTCCAGAGTTGACAGACATCTTTTGGCTGAAGCTGACCACACAGGCTGAAGGCTGCTTTGTTGCTGTTGTTACAAGCAGCTGTTCTCTGTGGGGTACCCCTCTGTCACTGCAGAACAAAATGCTTTAAACCTTAGAGACTTACTTCAGAGCAGCATCACATGATAGAGGCCTGGGGAAACACTGGTACTTCCCCACAGTGACTCCTAAACCAAAGGGTGGTTTCTAACAGGTTGTTCTTTCTACAGCATCCAGATCACTGCTCTGCCAGTGTAACATCTGCATTTCTGGAGAATGAATATCTAGCTGACAAGAACGCTGTTATTTTTTTCTCAGCTGGTTCTCAGCACTATAAGATAAACTTTGCAGGTGAAGTATATCCTTGTTTTAAGTCTGTTACACAGTGCAGCTGGCTGGAAGGTATCTTCTTCCATGCAGAGCTTTCACCCTATGTCTGCATCTCTTTGAACAGGTCTTTTTCCTCCTGCAAATTTTCTCCAATGCTACAGAACTTGAGCAGTATGTACATTTCTCTGCAGTTCTGAGATGCCTTGCTCAAGCTTCTACACTTGGGCATCTGTAGTCAAAAAAGCGTCTCTGACAATATTGTATATTCAGAAGACGGGTCGAGAGTAAATGCTTCATGGCACCTGGCTTGTCCATTTGGGTTTATACAACTAAAGAGAAGGAATGAGAAACCAGAAAAAACCCCAAAACAAAAGACTTAAAAGTCAAGTGGTGAAGAAGTGAGACCATAGTGGACATCTTGCAACCTAATAATGGGGAGAGAAAGCACAGAGTGCAGCTAATGAAAATTTAGGGCTGGTTGCACAGAGAGAGAAATGGGAAAATGAGAAATGCTTTTCTGTTTCTAATTTATTTACCCATCTTAAAACTCCTGTTAGCTTTCCAAACTTTAAATCTGTTTCCTGGCATGAATCAAAAGTGGTGTTTAAAGGAGGAAACAATGGATAATTAGCCATGTCACACAGCGTGTGCTCTGTGAGATTGTTACAGGACCAAGAAGAAAGGGCAGACTTTCCTCTTAGCACCACGTAACAACCCAGTGCTGCCAGGAAAGCCAGGTTTATGGCCCCCATTGTATTGAAAACTCTTCCCTGCTGCAGGCCTGCCATCAGACCTAGTTTTCTCTGGCTGGCAGCCTGGGTGCAAATACATATGCAGGTGCAGTTGGTGATTGGTTGCCTTTGAGTTTCACAACCTGTGCTTGCTGATCTCCAAGTAGGAGCAGTGCAAGTGAGAACGGTTATGAAGTCTGGACTGGGGTGGGTGGGATAGGGAGAGTATCACAATGCAATATTCAGGGCTACCTCCTCTTTTATTTTTACTTAACATATAAGATGTGTTCCTGGACAATGAATTTTTGAGTTATTGTGTTTTTCTTTGAAGACATGGTCCAAACAAATTTGCTCTTTAAAACACAAAGAAATGTTATTCGACTGCCAAAACATCTGTTACCTGAAGGTGGACAAGACAGAAGGTAATATACATGCATTATTTAACAATGTCTCTATAGGACAGCACCTTTCTGCTAAGAAGTTCCTCCTACCTGTCTAAAATGTAATTTTAGATTTCTTAAATTCATTTTTAGATGACTCTAATGGTAAATTTTGTGGCTACAGTATTTGCAAATTATGCAACACTTCTGTGAAGCACTCTGGAGAGATGTTTGGTGGCAGTGTCTGGCAGCTGTGAGAGACCACTAGAGTGGATTTGTTCTCTCTGTGAGAGGCAAGGCTACGTAAGGCTGACCCAACAGTGCCAGGAATTTTTATTCCTTGATTTATGCCTCAAAGCTAATAAATAAACTGTGCAGAGATTAGGAGCAAGAGACTGCCAATCCCAAGAGCTGTGGAGCATATGGATACCATTCCCTGGAAAGCTGAGGATATATTAAAACACAAATTCAGGCAAATCCCCCTAAATTAAATGAACTAGAGGCACTTACTTGAGATGCCCTATCTCGTGGCTTTTTTTGAAGGAAGTTCAGCTTAACAGAATTGGAGCACATCTGCTGTAAATGTCAGTTGTGCTACTGATTTATTTTAAAAAGATCTGCCTTTGCTTCAGAAACTCACCGATAGAAAGTGCGTGTGAAACTGAGGGTTCAGTTTAAGGGCTGGTTCAACCAAAGGGGGGTTAATTAAAAAAAAACCCTAACCAAACCAAACTGTAGATCCTGAATGGATGATGATGCTCCTATTGCCTGGGTTAAAACCTGGGTGCCAGGAGGGCATAGTGCTGGAAGTTGTTGAGCACTGACTGGTGCAGTAGTGCCTGCAGGGCACAGCTGTGCATCCACAGGCTCCTGGCTGGCTTGGTCCTGGGGACGAGTACCAGTGGCCACCCATCTGGCCAGTGAATCAGAGAAGAGTGGCCACATGGAAGGAGAGGGCTCATGCTCTGATTTCCTTGAGATGTTCAGATAGCACACGTGGAGGGCTGTCTGGAGCAGTTGGATAAACCAGCGAGCTAGGAAGGTGTTACTTCTCATTTGAAGCTCTTCTACCAGTATCCTGACCTACCAAGGGATGCATCAGTGCCGCTAGGATGTGTGTAGAAATCTAAACTGGGGAAAGGGATAATAGTTATGAGAAAAGTAAAACAAAAATAAAAATCCAGGGATACCTGAATGCTGCTGTAGAGCCCGTGATTGGATTCTTCAGAAGGGGGTTTTGGTTAGAAGTATCCACTAAATTGCTTCTCTTTCTCTTCTGCAGCCAAAACACGACTCTATCTTGTTCTGTCTATCCTCCACAATGGGACCAGTCTGCACTACCTGACATTGGGTTCAAGGTAGGTCTTTCCAGCTCTCCAGTGGGTAGGATGTCCTGTACTGATTTTCCTGAGAACATGAGTCAAGGCAGTTGAGATGTTCCCAGCTTTTAAACGTGTCTTATAAAAATAAGCAACTATGATGTGAAACAAGACTGACAAGTCAGAATAGATGTGTGTTTCCTGGGAAGCTCTCTGAGAAACCCCTACGATACCATGCAGGATAAGAAAGGCTCTTTTGGCCATTACTGGTCTGACCTGTCCTTTGCACTGTCCCAAGGCACCTCCTCGTCTGATAAACTGGAGGAATTGCATCTTAAGGGGGTACTGTAATATTTCCCCTGTTGATTTGAGGCAAAATGTTATTTGCTGTGGTAAAACTACAGCTTAGCCCTGTAGGGAAGGAGCTAGGGTGTCAGATTAAGGCAAAACTTTCCACTCTTCTCCAGCCTGAATACTGCTGTACATTTCAACTTTAGGTTACTCTGAACTCAGAATAATCTGGATGCGGAGGTGTGTCCACTGAAGGAAGCTCATATGGGATTGCATTGATTTCCCTCAGTTAGTATCTGTGCTTCCTCATGGGGAGAGGATGGTTAACAGGAAAAACAGAAGGAGCTTGTGATTTTTATGTAGATGTGAGGAGGTTGACGAGTCCTTTGGGAGGACTGGGAGTTGTTACTGTCAGTAATACCCTATTTTTGGTGTTTTTAAAATTTTCAGTTGGTACAGCTCAGCTTTGATTCCCACGAATATGGAAAAATCAAAAGGCTGTTTGAAAAGACGATGAAAGATTATTGCATCATTCAACTTCAGAGGATCCAGAACCCAACACTTTGGGAACTTTTTCAGTGGTTTGTATCTATTTTTTTTCATTTTCCTTATGGTATCAGAAGACCAACATTTCCTAATCTATTGTCCTCTGTAGCCTACCTTAGGAGTGGCTAAATCCAGTGGCTCAGCAGATGTGAGGCTGCCATGTACCTGTGTGCCCGGGTCTGGTTGGTAGTGAGGTTCAGCAGATGCTCCCAGTAGGTGCATGTGCATACACAGAAAATATATGAATACACACAGAGAAATCAACATGGGCAGCACAGCACTCATGCAATTGTGAACAGCACCAATGGCCTCACTGCTGTCCCTTCCTCTGGCTGAACAGAAATGAGTGGCAAAAGGAATGTCAATATAAAAGCCTGTTAATGGAATACATATACATTGATGGATCCCTCTAGGAGCTGGTCTTAGCCTACTCATCTGCTGGCTCCTGGGTCCTCTTGTCTCCAGTTATGTTTTGCATAGACACATACACATGCAAATGGGTCTTGGTAGATTTCACAGTGTCTTCAGCGATTGGCCTGGACCTCCCAGTCCCACTCATAAGCAAGCTCAGACCTTCTGGTCTCTCCAGCATCTGGCCTAGACTTATGACTGCTCCAAAACCTGACTCCTGGGCCAGCTCCCCTCCTTACTGGCTGTCCAGCCTTACACTGGCTGGTGGTCACACACTGGCACACGTGCCCTCGTTTGCTGCAGTTGCTGGGGCTGTGGATATATGGCTCCTGTGACCCAAGGTCCTACTCCAGTTGCCACACACAGACCCCCAACATGTGCATGCACACAGGCTGGAGACTCCATCGCCAATGTAAGAGTTAGAAATTGGAGTTTGATGAGAAGATAGGGCAGACTGTACTGATCAGGCACTGGATGTGGCCAGACCAGCCTACTAACCAGGCAGTGGGCTGTTTTTACACAACCTACCCTTTTTACCCCCTTATCCATCTATTTTCCTGTTTATCTTTCTCAGGCCATCCTGATCTCACCCTTCTCCCACCTACAGTTCCTCTTGTTAAACATCGCATTGAAAGTCCAGTGCAATCCCTGAATGCACTTCCCCTCTGTCCCATAACAAGTCCCATACTCTCATGGGCAGTACCCTCTTTATGTCTGTGAGCTGCTCTGGGCCTGTTCCATTGTTCATGGTGCCAAGTGTCTCCCTGATCTGTGGGGTTGAGGCTTCCCTGGGGCTGAGGCTCCTGTGGGGCAGCCCTTGAAGGAGACTGGGGCTCCTCTCTGTGACTTGGGTTGCTTCTGTGTTCTTTTGTGTGTATGGAAATGAGCCTTTTATCACATAACCTAATGGGTGTGTGTGTGTGATTCTTGCTAGTGTTATTCAAAAAATAAATTCTTTTCCTTCATCATAACTGAGTTCTGGTATTTCAAGTTTATTCCTTTGGTTTTAGTTTCTTCCACACAGGAGTTTAAGAAAAAAAAAGGGAGGGACTTTTTTTATGATAAAGGTGGAACAGAGATTATACAATCTTCACCATGGGTTCATACAGCTCAGTTTTATAATCATATTTATGCATTCAGGATTTATATAACATGAGAACTGACCAATTTCCAGTCAAGAGATGTTTGTCTCTTTACTCTCTTATGTGGTATGAAGTTGTGGGTGACACAGTCCATAGCGATGCTGAGAACTTTTTGTTTTGCTGGCACGAGCCAGCTGTGCAGCAGGGTACCAACAGAAGTGCAAAGCAGGCAGTAACCCCACTGAGAGTGGTTTGTGTCACTGTTTCTCCATGACCCAAAAGTAGGAGGAGTTGAGTTGGGAAGTTGTCCTCATGTGAACCAGGATAACAAGTAATTCTTTTTTTTCTTTTTTTTTTTTTGGTCTCTAGGCAAAAAGAGAAGATGAAGAAGGTCAATAAATCAAAAAGGGTGGATGAGCGGCTCCTGTTCCATGGGACAAATCCATCCCACGTGTCTGCCATCTGTGAGCAGAACTTTGACTGGAGGCTCTGTGGGACTCATGGGACAATGTATGGAAAAGGTACAAGTGCAGAAGTGTGGCTGTAGGGGCTGTAGCAGCATGGGCTGCAGACCCTGGCCAGGCTCGTATGTGGGTGTGATGTGACTGACTGTCCCTGACCCCTGCACTCCTGCCATTAGAGCACTCTCCCCTGCCTCCATCTGCATTGCTGCAGACAGCATCCACAGCAATCCCTTTCCAGGAGGGACTAAAAACACCCCTCTTTGCTTCAGGTACCTGCAGTTCTGCAAAGCTCTTGGGCAGGTGGGACTGGGAGGTTGATGGCGAAATATGACTGGAGTTTGTCGATGCTTTAAAATAAGCCAACGTGTGTTGCCATCTTGGCAAGAATGTGTGTAGGGCTACCTGGAGTTGTTGAATCACTGGCTACCAAAGTGCTGACCACAGATGCTTGTTCCTCAGCTGCTGTATTGTCTTACCTGTGCCTTTTTCTGGTCCCTAGGAAGCTACTTTGCCCGAGATGCCAGCTATTCTCACGAATACTGTTCCTCTCGCAGTGGTCGCTACACCATGTTTGTAGCTCAAGTTCTTGTTGGAGACTTTGTTCAGGGAAACTCTGAATACTGTCGCCCTCCAGCCCGAGCCGGCAATTCAAACAGACTTTATGACAGCTGTGTGGATGACCCAATAGACCCTTCCATCTTTGTCATCTTTGAGAAGCAACAAATTTACCCTGCCTATATCTTGGAGTACAGCATTGAGACCCAGTGTGTGGTCCTGTAATGAATGGTGGAATCTCCTTTGAATTCACATTGAATAAATTACTCTTTATTAATTCTTTTTTAATCTTTGTTCAACTTTAGTAGTAGCTTTGGAACACTTCATAATGTGGTTAACAAATATCATTCCCCTGATGGTTTGGGGGGATAGTTTTTTTGGTAGGGGCTATTCTTTTTCCAGCAGAAAGCACTAAACTCCAGCATTCACTCTAGCCTGGAACAAGGATGAGCTTGCCTTGCATACCCTGATGCAGTGACACCTACTGCTGCTGAAACCACCACCAGTGAGTGTACAATTAACTGATACGATCACTTAGGGTTGATTCCTGCCTATGATGGTACTGATGTGCCGAAGGGAGACTGGGCAAGGAATGTGGAAGAAGGAAAGTGAAAGAACCTATGTTGTGGTGCACAAGAGAGGAATCATGGCCTGTCTTCTCAGCAAATGGTAGGAAGCTCCTGCATTCCGGAGGCTTTACAATTAATGCTGGCAAAGAACTTTGCTTTGTTTCCTGGTCTCATTGCTGACATCTCTTCTCACCTTGTTCTGCTATGTCAAGTTCGACCGCCTCTGTGACATCCTGTCCTTCTTCTGTCCCCACTGGGTTTAGGTCAAGAAAAGCAGGCATATTGCAGCTGCTGAAGTTAACTCCCCACCATACCATGACACCAACAGTGAGGAAGTCTGTGGTGAGCTGAATAATGGCACACAGCAGTGTCCCACCAGGGCTGCAGAGCCACTGCCTGCAGCAGTGAGCAGTGAGACAAAGGGTCTGTGTGAGGGTGGCCACTGGCATGGCCACCTCCTTTCCACCCTGCAGGCTGAAGTTGGTGATGGCTATTTTGTGTTGCCCTGCTGCTGCCTGGCACTCCTCCCAGTGATTGAGAAGTTTCCCAGTGGTGTGTGCTCCAACTGGGATGATGTGGGGGAAGCTTGGGTTGTGGTCATAGTACTTGAAACTTGGTGGATGGTGGGATAACATTTAGGATGACCAATAGCATGGAAACAAAAATTTGTGGTTTATTTTAAAACAGTCTTGATGTATAAGCTGTCATAATTCATCAAGAGTCACAAGTGGTTCAGCTGTGCATGCCATATGTGGAAGGAACCAAGAGGAGGGATGTGTGTAAGGTCTCATCAGTTTTCCTAAAGCCTGTTATTTTCAGGCACAACCAGTGCCCTTAGAAAATGTCAGAAAGACAACTGAGTGCAATGAGTCCCTGGGCTGCCCTAATTCATGCACTTCCATGTCCCACTGCTTTTGTAGGAGCCTAAAGGTTGTTCTTTTGCAAATTAATGATCTAATCTTGTCAGACATGGGTGAGCAGAGAACTTTCTATGCAGTCAGGAAGTAAAAATGAAAGTCACTTAAATGGACTTTTTCCCTGAATATAAGATATTTTTCATTTAAAAAAAATAAGAAAAGCACATACCAGCTGCCACACACCTTTCTCAATAAGAAAAGTGGTGAACAGTTAATTGCTCTCCTGTACTGTCAATACTACTGCATAGGAAAACTGCCATGATTTTGTAGATCTGTTTGCCATGGATTTGTCAGTTGTCCTAGATCTGCATTCTGTGCCTTGCCTGAACATGAACCTGAGCATTATTTGTACAAACAATAACAGAAAGTCTGTTTTAAGATGATAATTTTATAGCTAGCTGGGATTACATAGAGGTCTTCTTTGTTTTACAGACTTGCTGCCTGGCTGTGGCACTCTGTGCTTGGGCAGCCTTCACCTCTTGCTGCCTCCGAGTTGCAGGCTTGCAAGGATGAGAAGGGACTGAATAATGACCATTTTCAGCTGTCACCTTTCTTTGGTCCTTGCAACATTGCATAGTTTTTCTCCATGGCTTCATCAGCTTATGGGGGGTTGCATGTGCAGCCTTTGGGCAGGACAAGGGCATGGAGATGGAGGGTTTGGGAAGAGTTTTGTTATTAAAGAATTATGAGAGTTATTAGAAAAAATGCTCTGTGAATTGATGCTTTTGTACAAACCATCTTCTCCCATTCTTCTCCTCCGTGACAGAAGAAACCATCCATCATGTGGGAAAAAGTTGTTTCCAGCAAGATGGGCTTCAGAGTATGATTGCCAAACTTGTTGGGGGCAGGAGAAAGTAAGGGAGAGCCTGCTGAGAAGCAGGCCAGCCACTGAAAAAGGGGGGGGGGTGTTTATCTGAGAAAGAAGAAACCAGGCAGAGAACAGAGAACACGTGCAAACGTGCACAGTTTGGAAGACAATGAGATTTTCCAGTAAGTCAAAACTATTTCTGACTGCAGTGAGAGTTTCTTGCAGCCTCCAGCTGCTTCCAGAATTAGGTGCTGGGTGTTATATTGAGAAGGTCAGACAGGGCCTGGTGTGAGCAGCTGTAAGTGTGCTGATGTGGGACTGCTATGGGCTCTGCAGGTGCTGCAGGACTGGATCTGACATGGAAGCTGTCCTTGAGGAGCCCATGTTCTTTCACAGTCACTCTCTGCAACACTCCCTTTATGTGTCCCAAAGCAGCAGTCCTGCCTCCAGTGACAGGAGAGTGGATGGGAAGGAGCAGATGCAGGGCATTCACCTGCTTGAAAACTGACCTAATCAAAACCACCACAAAACACAACTCCCAAATACAGTGTTTGGCATTAGCAGTTTCCAGTTCTGCTTGTTTTGACATCAGTAAGGAAGCGGGGGGGGGGAAGGGGGGGGGGTTGCAGCATGAATTTTGACTGGCATAAGATGAAATTGAACTTCTAGCCCAGCAGATTTGGGAATCTAAAGCTAAAAGACTTGGGAATATTTCAGTTAGTGAGGCACTGAGAGCAGAAACTGCTAGTAAAAGTGAAAAGCAACTTAATCTGTGAATACTTCTTCATGGGAGTTTTGTTCAGTATTGTAAATTTGCTAAAACTTCTTCCCAACCTGAACCTCCTGCTACCTCTGGAGTGCCTGGGTGCCTTTGAAGTACTGAGCAGAAAGCATTCTTCACCAACCTTTTAGATGAGAAATGCTTGCAAACCATCATCAACATATGGAATAGTTGCCAGGCACTAGGTGTGGATCTGTGGACTTCTGAGTCATTATTTTTTTCCCCCGAAAAAAATTGGAGATCTCTCTTCCCTTTGTTGAGAATGGGTTAACTCAGATACATGGCACTGACAGTTTCAGAGTCAGCAAGACGGTGATGGAAAAAAGTCTGGCCTGAGGAATTCTGTGAGTAGCCAAACTCATTTCTATGGGGTTTGCTGCTACCCCAGTCAGCCAGACCGGCACCGGACGGGCAGGTGTTGGGGTGGGCTTGTCCTGCAACAGCAGACTCTCTTTGTGATCTCTCGGAGAGACAGCTGCAGGCACCGGCAGCTTTTCCAGAAATTTCATTAGCAATTGCTTTTCAGGAACCAGCAACAATTCAGAAGGATCAATTGCTTTTTGTAACCGTATAAATAATGCATTTCTTCTATGTACTCAGATGTGTACTGTCTTTGTCTCTGCCTGCAAAGCTGTTAGCTCAAGTGATCTTTTCATCATAATGTATTTCTAATTGATTTTCTTGTGGTGCTCTTAGAGCTTCACAGCATCCCTAGCTTTAACACAGTTGATTGCATATTCATGCAAGTGTTCTAGGCTTTCTATTAAGTAACACCTCAGCAAGTTTTCAGGCTTTCTTTTAATTTACTGGTGCCTAGTTTGACTTTCCAGCATTTGTAAGAAACCTTTTTAACAATTTTGAGAGAATTTATTACAGGACAGCTAAACTGCAGAAACACAACGCTTGATTGAACATGCTGAATGAGATGTTATTTTCCAAAACACTTAAACTTTTAAAAATCAACCTGAGCCCCATAACCTGGCACAACCACTGTATGGGTGCCAGGTGAAGAAAACACACATATTGTTCTTGGCATGACATGCTCAACAATTGCATTATTTAACAAGGCTGTTTCTAGTTCGAGGGAATAATTATCCCGAATCACTGTGTAGCTGTGGTAATGATGGGGGCTGAGGATTTGGGAAAGGGCTTTAGAGGCCTGCAGGAGACAGATCTGTAGGAATCAGACTCTTATGTCTGAGGGAACAACTTTTTCTATTTGTTCCTGTTCTCTTGCAGTCCTGTTTCTTTTGATGAAGCCTGTTGTCTGGCATGTTGAGTGCTAGGCGCTATTTCCCAGAGCAGCTCAAACTCTCTTTACAGAGTTACTTTTACATCTTGCTTACAAATGGGAGCAATAGGGAAGGCTGACCTGGTTCTTATCCATCTGTTCTTAATAAGCTTAGATTTTCCTTCCAGATGGTTTGCAGGAATGTCAGAGGGCCTATTAATTGGTGTGCCAGTGCTCAACTTAAAAATACTTGAGAAGTATCTACACACGATATCCCCACCACTGGAGGAAGCTCTGTCTTTACCCATCCCCAAAGAGAAGATTTATTTCAATGTGTGTTCTCTGAATAATTTTTCTTTGTATCTTCAGCTTTGGTCTCCTTAGGTGAACATGGTTTTCTCTTTACTAAGTCCAAAGGAGATATTGGAAATCCCACTGGTCTCTGCTTTAACACTTTGCTTCACTCTTGCTTCTTGCAGGCTTTTTCTGACTGCATTTTGCAGATAGCCCCTTGCACCTTCCAGTTGGTTTTTCTTTTGAAAATTCTTGTAAGTTTATGGGGATTTTTACTATGTTCTGCAGATCCATCTCAAGCTGTGATCCATTCTTCTGTCCTGAAGGCCAGCTGACCTTTATTTTGCCTCTCAGCTCAAGCAGGTTCTTCTAAAAGTCTTTTTCCATATTCTTTTTCCTCTTTTATCCTCATACAATCTGACCTCATTTTTGCAATTACACAACCTCTGCCTTCACATAACTTATTTGACTAAATGTCCTCATATCTATCATAATGTCTTTAAAAAAAAACCAAACAACTCCCTTTTTGTTTTGCTTTATGGTGTTTTTTGTTTGTTGGTTTGGTTTGGCTTATTTGTTGTTTTGTTTTTTTTTTTCTTTTTCACTGAGCAAATCAAATTCTTTACTAACAGAATTCTCTCTCTTCATTTCTTAAGTCAGATATGTGATTAGTTTCACTGCATGAAAC